TGTCTCTGTGAATTCATGTGGACTCTTCAGGTTACAACAATACAAATTTTCATTATTACATGGTTCGTTTTCGAACATGGCTAATTTTTCAGTTAATTATCATTGCCTAGGCTAAATTACCCGATTGTTTAATGCTCCGAGGATATTATTTGAAGATTGCAAAACAAAACCAATGACTAACCGGTCTTCGTTTTGCGAATTCAAGCATCTTCAGGACTGAAAACAGATCACATCAATGCAGGCAGACAAGAGATTGTACTTCGTTAAAAAACAGTTCCACTATATTTAATGATGTGAGATTTGCTGCTTTATATTTATGTAATCTCATATTTTTCTGTTTTGATGATACATGTGTCAGTGAAACGTTGATCGCTTAATAATGCCCCGATATTTGGGAGGCTATGCTTTTTGGGATTTTCCAATACAATATCTTAGAGTATATATTTTATTTTGAAATGTTATACTGTACGATATCCCTAAAAGTTAGTTGATTGCCTCTTAGGTACTGTTACTTGTTATTTTAAGTCCTTCCTCTAACGTGTCTCCATAAGAAGTTGCAAAGCCTGTAAAGAAAAGGGGCTTCGAGTCGAGATAGCCCAAGAAGGATACTTAAGCAGTCTTATTGTTAGTCCATTAGATCCAACAAAGCCTTTGGTGTTCTCTGTTACGTGCTACTGAGCACGAAAAGGGGCACTTCCGACTGTCTCCCTCAACAGAACAAAAACTAGTTTTCGTCTTTTTGACTGACAATATTATGTATGGTTCGGTGAAAAAAAACAACTGCGTTTTAGGTCAAAGCTTTCATTTTCACGGGTATTTTTGTATGTATTATTGATTGCTTTATTTTCGGTTTCTGAGAATATTAATCAACTTTTATGTTTAAAGAGATGATAAAATACTTTTATCCGGTTCCAAGTGCGGTAGTTAAACACCTTTATATAATGATTTCCATATAGAAAACTTAGCCCTGGAGAAGATAATAAGAGCAACATCACAGGAAAATGGAGGGATCCACGTCGGAATAAATCATAAAATCCTCGGATACGCTGATGATGTAATTGTCCTTGGAAGTAATCAAGAAGACTTTGAGAAACTCGCTACAACACTGATAAGAGAGGCAGAGCAGATCGGCCTACAAGTAAATGAAGACATAACAAAATATACTATAATAAGCCGAAAATTCCACCCCAATAAAATTATCTAAGTAGAAGGAAAATCATTCTTGAGAGTATGTTGTGAGAGTTATTTTTAATAAACTAGAAGAATATATAAGTAAGGTTTGTAGAAATAGTAATACATGATGATAAAAACCTATCATTGTGTACTGAAAACTTTCTTCTTCTTCTTTGAATACCTCTGATGCCATTCCTAGCGCCAAGGAGCGACAATCCAACGTTTTTCCTCCCTTCCCTCCTATCCGCTGTATATACTCGTGGTAGGAAGTTCTGGGACGGCATCACGGTCACTTTCCAATGGGACGAACTTCCATCGTTTTCCGTGGCTCTCTTTCAACCTCCATCCGACAAACACTTCAGCTGTCGATTTTCAAGCGTAGTCTTTAGCTCCACCCGTCACTTAATGCTGAAAATTTTCTAAAGAGGTTTATTGTCAATTTCTGATATAATTCATTGTTATATTTTAAAAAGTAGACGAAAATATCTTGTTTTAAAACTGTGTTCTAACTAATCATTATCCATTCAGTAATTGAAATGCCAAGGGACAACTGGGTTTCGTAAAAAATAAGTTGAAGTAGTTTTAATTTGCTTTACGAATATACTATATTTTTCTTGCAGAACAATCAACTTGTTCTAGTAATTTTAAAAAGTACATACTTATTTTTTCTCAACTCTATCGCTATAACAGACTGACAACTGTTCTGACGCCACTATCTCGCTTTCCATTACTCGTGAAATTTCAGAAAGCATAGTTACGAAATTAATTCCACCCACTTTCAATGTTTATGTTGGCATCCCTGATTATTTCCTGTTAGTTTTGCGTTATTAACTAGGCATTGCGAATCTCTCAGGGCTCTGATTTTATCCACCCGATCCTCCACTTGCGGCAGCTTTAAAGTACTCTGAATCAAAAAAAGTTATTATTAAATGACTAAGGATCTTTTAAGTACTGAAACGACTTCGATGAAACTTTACAGATATTTTAATTAAAATTTAAATCACAATTTTATATATGAGACTAACATATATATAACAGGTATATATAACGTGTACGTTATACGGACCTGCTTTTAAAACTATATATAACCGGGTATTATGTGACTTTTTACGTGTCCTTCATAATATTATCTGACTATTATATGATCAAATTATCCTAAATATTCTTTCACTCCTTCATACTAAAATATCCCTAAGCTTGAATTAGTTCATAAACGGAAAATCCGGATGTAACAGAACACTTATACACCGGATCTTCGGCCTCGCAAACTAACATTACACAGGAAGTAACTATCTTTAATCACATGAATACAGCTATTTTAATGTTTCGGTTAACAAAGAAACATGGAATGAGGCATACTATATTTTTATATAGAATAGCAGTGTTGTTAGACATGAAATAAAATAAATAATTTGAGGAAAAGAATTTAATTTCAGTCATTGAAAATATATCATTGCAGTTTTGTGTAGTAAAGAAACTTTACCGACATCTTTCGTCTGCTGTATTTATTTCGAATGACTTGAGGGGATTTTGAATTTCGAGGGGGTACATTTCGATGAATGAAATTATCTTATTATCAGATTAACAGTGCACCATATTAAATATGTGTGTTTAAAAAATTTCAAGATCCAGTTTAACTGTCTGAAAAGCATTGCTCACCCAAGTGGGCGCGCCCCCGTATTATTCGCCTTCTGTCCTTGCCACTAGCAAAAAATGAATTTTGCAATTTCTATTTTGGAGCGATTTAACGTAACTCTTGTTCTGAACTCAGGATTATAGTAGACCTTAATTGCATCAGAAAAAAATTATTTCGGCTATATTAGACCACATAGGCTCAGACTTTAGATTTTTTTTGGAGGGGTGATGGACTAGATAAAAAAAAATGGCCGGTGTTTTCATTATGTGTAAAAATCAAGCATAATTAAAAGGATTTTTATTTATTTATTTTTTGTTTTACTAATTATATATACCTGAAAATGTCTAAATAAAATACAATTTCATATATAACATATTTGTTTATATATGACTCTTTTAGGCATTTCTACGGGACTTATTCGTGCAACATGCCCTGCCCACCCAAGGGGTCCCAGCCTAATAAACATCACAACATCTATATCCTGCAGCAGCTCATAGAGTTCTTTATTTCTTCTTCTTCTCCAACCTTCCTCATCCCTTATCGGTCCATAGAATCTTCGAAAGATCTTTCTCTTGAAGACCAGGAGATTATTTCTATCCTGTGTGGATAGTGTCCATGTCTGAGAGGCGTATGTTAGGACAGACCTGATCAGTGTTTTATATAAATGGACCTTTGTTTTCCTGCTAATGAGCTTGCTCCGCAGCTGTTTCAACAGACCAAAACAGCATAAGTTTGCAGCTGTGATCCTTCGCTTTATTTCAATGGAAAAATTATTTGTTGCTGAGACCTGAGATCCAAGGTAAATAAACTCCTCCAATCTCTCAAAGGTGCAGCTTCCTACAACAACTTGTCTTTCTTGAGGTCTGGCTCCTCTGGGGTACATTTATTCTGTTTTGTTTTTACTAATAGCCAGTCCCATGTGTCCAACAGTTCTCTGAAGGCTTAAGAAAGACTCAGTAAGCGCAGTATAGGATCGCACCGCTATATCAAGGTCATCCGCATAGCCGAGCAGTTGGACCGATCTACTGAATATGGTGCCATTATTCTGGATACCAGTTTCTCTCACTACTTTTTCCAGCACCAAATTAAACAGGAGGCATGCCAAAACATCTCTTTGCCTTAGTCCTTTGTTTGAGCCCAATTCAGAAGAGTGTTTGGGCTGTATGCGGACGCTGCACCTAACTTAAAAAGATACCAAACTTTAATTTACAACTTTCCTGCCGAAAATCAAACCATTCTTTGTATGAACTTTTTTATAGCTCTAGAGGTCTACTGTTACCTGTATAAATATTTTCCTCTGCGTACATGACACCCTGTATATTATTATCATAGAAAATAAATAACAATTTAAATAAAATTAAATAAAACATTTAGGTATCAATAAATTCATTACATACCTACTACTAGACCCTAGCCTAGCCAGCTAGTCGACTTTTCTTAATCGATATTAGTTTTCACATTTTAATTATTCATGTAGCTTATTTATTATTGACTGTAATTTTTTTTTTTTTGCCTCAAATTATTGGGAGTAAAACGATATTCTTGTCTCCTCAACATTTTTATCTGAGGGCGATTTGAGCAAAAAAAAATTACATCTTTAAACTGCACTTGAAAAATATTGATTTAATTAAATATCTTAATAATGAGTTTTATTATTTTTTTGTTTATAATGAAAATGTAAATTCTTTTTACACATTTCAGTCTTAATTTTAAGGAATTTAATTCACTTTTCTCTTGTTCTTAGTTATAAGTATTTTTAATAATAAAGGTTAATGCTTTGGTAGATTTTTAATAATTCAATAATATTGATTTTCTTCCATCCTTTTAATTTTATGTTCAAACAATTGAATTGATTTCTTTTTCTAATTTCTAACTCCTCATTTAACACTTTTTTTTTTAGAAATTAAAAGAAAGTATCAATTATTAATCTTAATGTATTGATACCTTGTTCTGTAATAAGCAATGTATACATATTTAATTATTACTTACTAGAGGTAATACAAATTTAAGATTTGAGTTATAAATTAATCCTATTCCCTTCTTTCAAAGATTAATTACATCAAAGCTTAAACTACCATATGTATCCATCATTACTGAATAAATAAAATACAGTAAATATTTCAATTAATAATCTTAGACCAATAAGATACTGTATTATCAATTATGTTAATAATATTTTTTTTGTCCCCAGGTATTACACAATTGTCGCCCCTCGTGTCCTCCGACCTAACTCTGATTATCATGTATCAGTAACAACTATGATGGTAAGTCAACCAACTACCGTGTTTGTTGACATTGGAGGAAAGCAGGATAGCGGGGGAGTGTTCAAAACTAGCCAGTTCCTGGCAGTGGAACCCTATGTCTCTCGAATACTACAATTAAAAGTATGTTATTTATATTTTATGACTATAAAGAAAAATAACAATGAACTTTTGTTAAAAGAATCTCATTTATTTATTATCATTGTTTGTTTTTTAATCCTTTCTGAAAGGTATTTGCCTGGAGGAAGAAATAATCAACTCCAACCAATGAACCAGTTTTTGTAGTATATTAATCTTTAGTATATCAAGAAGGTATCATACAATCCTTGTAATGTTCAGCAGCACAGCATTTATAATGGCTGTTGAGAGGTCCAACTTGTCAGTAGCTCACACAGTGGTAACTGATATCAGACCATTGCTGGAAATCATTAAATCCCTTACAGTTACATTATCAAGTCTGTATAGACCTTTTAACTCAGTTGCTAGAGTTTGATATTTTCAAATTTTCTGACAGACTGAATTAGTGTTCCCATCATTTGGATGTTTTTTATCTTAGTTTTTTTTCCTTTTTATTCTCCTACCTGTCACTTCTGGAATGCAGGGTTTTGGGAGTAGTGGATTAATATGTCTCTATCTTACCATCCATCAACACTACACCAGGTCTATTGTGGTACACTCTATGGTCTGTTATAAATAATGACTGATTCCAGTACAATTTTGTTCCTTCCCTCTGGATTAAGAATATATATGTTCTTTTGATTATATTTATAATAAGGCATCAAGTCATTCAACAATTTTCTTTTAGATCAATCTCCTGTTGATAGATTTTCACATCGTCTTGACTTTTGAGATATTTTGGTCCAGACTGCATCCTCTTCTGCATTCTGCATCCTTGATAGACTCGATGTGCTTGCTCAGAGCCTCCACTTGTCTGATAATATCTGTTGCTTCAAGATATGTCGCCATTGAGATCTTGCTGCTATGATGTGATCCTGAATTGCTGTCAGAAATCCCTCTGTCTCGGCAAACAGACTTCCTTTAACCATCTCTGTGTTTTCTTCTTCAGGAGCTGCCTCGATTGTCAACAATCATTCTAAATGTGGATCACAAAGCTGCTCTTCATTTTCAGCAGTTATTATCCTTGATTTTTTAGATACCATTCCTTTTATATTTTCCAATCCCACTACTGAAATGAATTTTCTTGAGTGGATCTCTCTACTTTGATCTCTCAATCTTTCTTTGTGTACCTATAATTATCTGACTAAAATATAATTCAATTGATTATAATATAATATAAGTGGATTCAAGTTTTTCCAATATTGTTGAATCCTGTTGAGTTATCCAGTGTTACCTGTTTCTAATTTTGTTGCCAAAAGATATGGCTGATGTCAACCTTATTTATTCTGGCATCCTTTACGTACCTCTTGTTCTTTGTTGTTAGGTTCTACAGGGTGACCCCACTTGCTTTCTTATCACCTGACGGAAGCTGTTGAAGATTCATGCCTTGTCCAGCTTCATTTCCATGTTTGTCTGATCCTATTTATATATGGGGGCCAGGGTTGCGGGCTAAGACACTTGCAATAGGTTAAGCAACGTCAAGCATGGTTAGTACTTGGATGGGTGACTGTCCGCCAGGGAAGGCCACGTTGTCTGAGATTCCTCACCCCCACTACCAGGTATATGTGGTCAATCAGCCTACTGTGCCCAAACTCACAATGACACCGACTGGGCATAGGACTGATGAATTTACCTCATTTTCTTTAATCGAAAATTGGAATGAGCTTTACTAAGATGTTAGTAGCCCCCTATGGTAAAAAGGGTTTAATAAATTAATGATGAACAGTTAAAAGGCAAGCTAATCTAGTTTCACTAGTTCAGGGAAAAGAAATTGGCTGCTCTGTAGTTTCCCCAGAAAGGAAAATCTCAAATAAGAGAGGGGACACAAAGGATTTTATTTTTGCAAGCAGTTGGTGTTTGGCTGGGGTAAAGAGAGGATGGGAGAAAGGATCCTGACTCCAGTGGGTAAAACCCAGTAATAGTATTACCATCTTGGTAGCTGTTGTTTGGCAGAGAGACGAGCTGTTTGGTATTACAAGAGAGAGGATCTCCCAAGGAGCTTGAGTTAAGTAGAAGAAAATGTAACCATTTTGGAAGGTATGTTTGGCAGAACATGGGATAATGCTAGAAGACAAATGAATTTATTGCCACAAAGGTAGGCACAGTAAATATAGAAAAAAGGTTACCTTGCCAATCCATACTTGACTTTATTTAAAATCAGTGTTTAATTTTAGTATCAATGGTTTAAATAATAAAAGTTTGTCTGAGTGTTTTGATCTGATTGTCAGTAACCCACACCTGAGATAAAACAATTAGAAATTTCAATTTAATATATTAATGATCTTGTAATTTTTTTTTATTATTTAACAACCTCTTATTTCTTTTGGAAGTATCCCAACAGTATAAAGTGTGCTTCCACAAGGTTTTATTACTAATTAAAAAGTATAAGAGAGATGTTAATATATATATATATATATATATATATATATATATATATATATATATATATACATAAAATTTTCATAACGGCATTTTGAAGATACTGCCAGGTCTTACCGGGTGGTAAGGTTTCTTGCCACTTATTTAAAGGAGATTGTGCCAGAAGATCTTTCATTGACTTTGTAGTGATGTGTTCTGATATTGATTGGGGATCTGATATAATCTAAAATATACTCTCCCAGTCTCTTTTATTTTTCTTCATCTGCTCAATATTTTTGTGTTATAAGTCTTAGTCGTTTCTTACTGCCGTCAAAAGTTGTGTGTTCCTCTTTATAATTATGTTAATATAAACTCTGTTTTCAACAGAAGAGTCATCAGATGATCACTTATGCTGCTTCAATATTTTTATCGTTCCATATCTTTTCTAGCAATTTCAGATCAAGATACCTCTTCATCCTGAATGTAGTTAGTGAGTTATTGTTTGAGTGCTTTGCTGCAATTGGGTTCTTTAGATTTCTCTCGTATCCAGATGCAACCATATAATATTCTATGTTTGTATCAGTTTCTCAAGCTAATCTGCAATTGATTAATTGCCTTTAGCTAAAATAGGAACTTTCTGATTTGTTATTGGTATTTTTCAAAATTACTATGTTTCGATTTGAAAATTTATTATATACACATTTATTAGAGAATATTTTTTGATATAGATTGTTACTTATAATTGTTGATGCATACTTAAAAATCTGTTTATTGAAATTACTGCTGAAAACATATTTTAATACTTTTTTCGCTTGTTTTAGATTGGAGACATAGGACCTGGAAACTACAATCTGACAGTTAGAGGAGAAGGAGGTCTGAATTTTTACAACACAACAAATTTAAGTTACGTCCATAAGAGTTATTCAGTGTTTATCCAAACAGATAAAGCTATTTACAAACCTGGACACAAAGTTCAATTTAGAGCAATAGCTTTAAATGCTCATCTGAAGCCTTCAATTACAGGAACCTTAGATATACATATTACAGTGAGTCTTTTTCTTCATATTATTAACAACATTCTAAGTAAATTTCTTAACTAGCTATCACAAAAGTAATTAATAGTATCTTTATAGCTTTACATTGATCTATATTCAAACTCTGAGTGTCAGTCATGTAAACTAAATTTCCTGTAGAATTCTCTGTGTTTCTCCCATCTCTTTCTGATATACTGATTTAAATTTGTTATTCCCCACCCAATTTGTCAATAATTGTTAACAATAGGTATTAATATGTAACTTTAAATTGATTCTTCTTAAATTAAACTCATATTTTTAGGAATTTATCATTCCAATCATTCTTCTTGTTTATCTTCAACTTTTGTGCCTCTCAACTCAGCACTTCAATCTCTTGCTCCTAATTGCCAAAGTAGCTTTCTTTTATTCATTACTTTTTAATTTCATTTTTATAATTTTGTTATTTAGAGAGTTTGTTTTTCCCTTAAAATCTGTTATTTTTTAAAGAGATTAAAAGTCTCAAAAAAATGTTTATTGTCTTCTATGTATGCTCAATTATGGTAACATAAAAATGTTTTAAATGGCCACATTATACATTTCTTGCTGTTTTTTTAATTTTTCTAGGACGGGAAAGGAAACAGAGTGAAACAATGGCTTAGAGTTATACCAATAAGAGGTGTTTTCTCTGGTGAGCTGGAACTTTCTCAGTCACCAGTACTAGGTGATTGGACAATAACTGTCAAGATCCTTGATCAAACCTTTACTAAAGAATTCACTGTTGCTGAATATGTGTTACCTAAATTTGAAGTTACTGTAGATGTTCCAAAGCACGCTACCTTCAAGGATTCAAAAGTTGTTGCTACCATCAGATCAAAGTATGTTTGATTTTATATTTTATTTAATTAATAGTAATAATTAGAAAGTAAGTAGTGTTATGGGTGGAGTGCTGGCTCTCTATGCTGCATGTAACATACTAAATGTTCACTTGACAGAAAATAAAGGGACCATGTCTAGGGTAGAAACAATGTTTTGACAACTCTATTAGAGTTCTTTTATTTCTCTTTTTTTTTTTTATGATAATCCATGTGATTTGTCTTTATTTCAATTATATATAATATACCGACTCCTTTAGAAATTATACAATTCTAATATACATCATTTCTGACAGATATACATATGGAAGAGCAGTTAAAGGAGAAGCTACAGTTACAGCCTTCCCTGCTTACGTTTCTGATATCATCCAACCAGTTTTTGAACAACCTGTCCATAAAATCATTCCTATCGATGGGAAAGCATCTGTAGAATTTGATATTACAAAAGAACTTAAGTAATCTATCTTATAATTCTATTTGTTTTATTTTTTCTTGTTACAAAGCTTTATTTAATTAATTATTTGTTACTTAGCCTGAAGAATGATTATGAGAGGGCGATCCAGTTTGATGTAACTGTAAAGGAAGATTTGACCGGAAGAAAACAAAACAGTAGTGCTCAAACAATGATTCACAAACACAAATATACTCTTGAATTAGTAAAAACGTCTGAATATTTTAAACCAGGACTTAAATACACTGTTTTTGTAAGAACTTATTAATTTTATTTTTTTTTCTAAATTTGTAAAAAGTGTCAATAAGATAATTATGAATAAGATAAAAAACAGATTCAATTACTCAATTTATTTATTTTTAAATAATTAGTTTTTATGATCCTTAATAAGTTATAGTTGAACATCTTTTGTTTGGTAACCTGTTAAAAATATCTTAAATAAGCCTGCTCAAGATTTCTCAATACCTAGACTTATTTACTAAGTTTACTTAGGCTTACTCAATTTTTACTAAAACTTATTGATTTACCATTTAACTAATACAGAGTTATTCTAAGATAATGTCTCAAATAAAATTTCACTGTTAAGCTGAATCTTATAATATTAGCTGTCTGGAGAATTCTTAATCAAAAATAGCTTAGTGGAAAAACTATCTTACTATTATAGTTTTAAGAAGTTTTACATTAAAATAATTTATAAAAAAATAAAAATGACTGTTTAACCAACATAAATGTTTATGTTTATAAAAAATACTTGATTGGTGATATCAGTTTCTAAAGAAGCCGGGATATCTGAGTGGGCTAAAGCTTTTGCAATAGGTAATCAATGGTGAGCATGATAAGTCCTTGGATGGGTGACCGTCCATCAGGGAAAGCCTCATTGCCCAAGATTCCTCTTCTCTCTTATTTTATGTGGTAAATAATTTTATTTTTTAATAAATATTTTCAGATTAAATTAGCTCATCACGATGGTGTTCCAGTAATTGACAAAACAAATCCAGTCAAGGTATTTTTTGGATTTGATTATAATAGTGATAATTACACAGAATCTCAACACTATCTGTCCTCTAATGGAATTATTGAACTCACCTTTTACCCTCCAACAAACGTAACTGTTTTAGGATTAGCTGTAAGTAAAATGTTTTTCTCTTTTAATGTAATTTATGGGCTAAAATAATTTTTTATTATATTGAAAAACTTCCTGATATAAATATCTAATTAAATCACTTAAATTTATTTCAGGCTGAATATTTGGATGTCAAAGAATGGTTTTCTATTGTGACAGCAGCGGTTTCTCCTAGTAATACATTCATACAAACCAGTGTAAACACTGAAAACCCTAAGGTAATTTTTTTTATTCTTGATCTTAGATTATATTAAATGTTACATTGGCTAATTTTACTTTACCATGCTTATTGCTTTATTCGAACATACTCAACATTCAATAACTTTTCTGTGGGATTATCCTAATAAGCTAATAGTTTGCGGTACAGACCTCTTTGTATCAATTATTAATATCCATCTAAAACTTTGTGAATGGCTTCATCTTATCCTAACCTTCAATTTTTTTATTTTAAAAACTTTTTAGCAATGGGGCGTTTTTTCATTACATTAATTAATCTAATGAAGTGCCAAAAACTCGTGAATACCCATTTGCATTCCACTAGAATCATAAGAAAATTTGATCACAAATTTATGAAAAAAACGTGGCCTTCAAAAACATTGGGCCATTTTACCTATACAACCTTGTTATTTTGACATATTGGTGTTGGAGATCACACCAAACAGCTCAATATTTTTGTAATCCACCTTTTTTCTCGATTTTATGATAAAATTAGCTTACGATTCAAGTGGGAATTGGTCCTCATGAGTTTTTAGTACCTCATTAAATACACAAAGTTTAGCAATCTAAAGATTGAAAACGCCACATTGCTGAGAATTTTCATTAATAAAAAAGATGTAGGTTGTGATATGATTGAGCCATTCACAAATTTTTTTTATTTTTATTTTTATTGATAAATATTACAATCTGTCTCAATAAAGGACATTTATAATAGAGTTCTGAGAGCACATTCACACCATATTTACAAATTAAAAAAAAAATAAATAAATAAAAAAAATAAGCTAACTTCAAATAATATAAAGCTACAAAAGAACAAAATAAAATATCATAGTGAGAAAAAAAAAAAAAAAGTAATGAAAATAAACATCTTAGACACAGGCATACCTATTACACTATTTACAGTCGCCCATAGGAACTCCAAACCATACTTATCCCCCCACATGTGGAGGGAAAGCAAGGCTTCAGGAGATCCATGCGCTTCTTGCTCAACCATTTCACTGGCATTGAAAGCCAGCGGAGATTGAGTAAGGGCGCTACAACCACGGACACTCATGACTTGAGTGGAGAATCTGGCCATTGCCAGAACTCCAGTATATACATGTTACAAAAGGTCACGGGGCCACTGCCGTAACACAAAATTTTAAGCGGATGTTAATAATTTGATAATATTATATATATATATTTATTGATTTATTTAATATTATGCTTTTTCTTAGGATATTATGGTTCAGTTAATATATATTGCTCAAACATGAATAGGAATATTGTTAGTTATGTATTATTTATTATCTCTGGAATTTTTATTTTATTTTTATGATAAAATACATTGAAAATTAATATAAATAAGATTTTATTTGATCTAGGGGAAATTTTATAAAAAGTGTTTAAAAAAAATAATAAAATTTAAGCTTTATATGATTTTGTTTTTATGAATTGTAAAAACTTTGTTAAATTTAATAATTTGTGTAATATCCTCTGTTATGCACTATCTATCTGCAGCTATTATACTGTTTATAATGTCACTGATTTCACGAGGAATTTCATATCATTACTTACTTACTTAATCCATTCTCATCTACCGCTAAGAAGTGTAAGGGTGCCGCTTCTAGAAGAGCCTCATCCATAAGTCTGTCTTGTGCCAATAGTTTTATACTTGTCAAATCTATACCTCTTCAGTCAAAGGCTTCTTTATTCCTCTTTCCCAGGTCTCCCTTGACCACTCCTAGATCCTCTACCTTCCACCTGTGTGAGCCTTGCTATTCTGTCTTCTGGCATACGAGAGACATGTCCAAACTCCCTTAGCTTATGTTCCTCTACTTTTTCTCTTAAATCTTGCTGACCCAGGTTGGATCAGATAGTGATATTCCTCACTCATCTCTCCTCGTTCTACCTTCGACCCTACTGAGGTAACACATTTCCTTTGCTTGTAGTTGGCTCTTTTGTTTACATTTAAGATCCAAGACTCGCTCGAGTATATCAGGATTGGGAGAAAGGTGTTTTTGAAAATTATTATTTTTGTGGTTTTAGGAACCTCTTTCTTTCCTAAAAAACCTTTTCTAATTACATAGAAAAAACCCTTCTGACTGACTTAATCCTCTCCCTTACATCTCCATCCACGCATCCATTCTCGTTCAAGTGGGCTCCTAAATTCTGTTTTTAAAAAATCATGAATTACTTGCCCATTTACCCTTCAACAATACTACAGACACCCCACTTTTATAAAAACTTCCTTGTTTAATTAGCTTTAAGGTCTTATTAATTAGGTTGAGGTTACAATAAGAAACGTTGAGATTCATCTCAAGTTGTGTAGAACAAATGAGGTGTTTTATTGACCTACCACATAAAAATATCTGTGTTTTCAGAACAAATGACTGAAATAAATTATTGGTAAGGTTTAATTTTTTTATTGTGTATTATAATAAAGATAATTTCCATAAATAGACATTTTATTTTATATATACATATATTTATTTATTTATGTATTTATATATATATATATATATATATATATATATATATATATATATATATATATATATATATATATATATATATATATACTATTGCAGTTAATTGTTTGCAGAAAATAATTTTTAAACACTAAAATGACTGACAATTAAAAAAAATAACTTTAATTATTGTAATTGATTATATAAAATAAGGAAACTAGAGAATATAATTTACTTATTGCTGTTGAAAATAATTAATCACTTCATTGAACACTAAATAAATGCTACTTAGTCACAACTATGACTTTCTAGCTCTAATAATATTGATTGAGTATGAGAGAAATAGGGAGTGAGGCTGAGTAGCAGTAATGTGGAATTTGTTTGGTTCCAGTCCTTCTTAGTTTTCCCAATATATACATTTTAATATTTAAACTACTTACATAGGTTATTATGTTAATACATTTTAAAGATTTTGAAACATGTTAATGAAAAATAAGCAATATTATGTTTCAGGTGAATAGTGACATTGAACTTCAGGTCAATTCTACAGCACCATTGAAATACCTCAGTTATTCAGTGCTTGGCAGAGGTGATGTTATTGTTGCTAATTCTGTTGAAGTTAATGGAATGAAAACAGCTAAATGGAGGTTCCAAGCTACTTATGCTATGGCACCAACTGCCCATGTAATAGTTCAATACGTTCGGGAAGAAGATGGTGAAGTAATAGCAGATGCTTTGGATATACAATTGGATGGAGCCATGCAGAATTTTGTAAGAGTTTTGCTGATCATTGTACAATTTAAATAATAGGAATCTTTTTAATTTTAAAATCCTTTTATTTATTGCAAATTGCCAGTACCTTGAAAATAATAACAATAATTTATGTGAAGCATCTTTTTTTTAACACTACTCCAACTTTTAAATTTCCACTCAACAATAAATTTTATTTTTATGGCATTTTCCACTCTGATCTGGCTTAAATGTTTTTTTGAGTTCAATTGGTTTATGTTTTTTCCCCCTTCCAATATCTTATATCTTCGCAAAATAAGCCTCTCTGGTAGTTGGATTTTGGTCAAAGGCCTCAAATGGCTTAGGTATACTACTGGGATATATATGTTAAAGCAAGTGGTGGGCATTTTAATCATAAGAAAAGACTGAACATTACTTTCCGCAAAATTTATTTTTTTAATTAACACTTTAATTAACTGTGCTATGCTGTTTCATAAACTTTATGAGCGCTTGATAAAGTGCATCTGATTAATTGAATAGCATCAAAGTTATGTGTGGCAAAATAAAAGAACTGGCTTACAGAAGCCTCTTCACTTTTATAGCTTTATTCTAAAAAAACTTTTTCATAAGATATATTTTAAATGTTTTCAAGAAAACAGTGCTTCAGCTTGTATGAGATTTTCTTTCTTCCTGTGGTATAAGTATATTCTGGTTTTCGCCTCAAACTAAATAAGGCAACGTATAGTTGTCTGTGGAAAAAGTCTTCTCATAGTTGACTCCATGTACTTAAAATTTTATTCCTGATGCAATCCTTATTTATAATAACTGCATATATTATTTACAGCAAGCTATGCTAGCCTATTTACCTACAGTTTTCCGGATTGATTAGCATTTATGGTTACTGCTCCATTCGAATGGGTCATGGCTATTATGAAGCGTATAACCTTCCTCAATGAATGGTTTATCTTATGCAAAAAATTTAAATCGAACTGGTAGTTCCATAAGTCTTATTGATATTAGTATAGATTAAAAGCTTTTCCTTCATCAGTCGTATCATGTTTTTTTCTAAAATTTATTTAATTCATAATAAATACTAGATCTTATTGATTGCAAAATTTCTTTGTAATTAAAGCACTCCTTTTATTTTGAAAAATTTCAATATGTAATTGATATGATCAACTTGTGTTTAATTGTGTTTTTTTTTTGTTTTGTTTTTTAATAAAGGTTGACCTAGATGTAAATCCAGAGGAAACTGAACCAGGCAATGTTGTTGAAATTAAGTATGCAGCAAAACCAATGTCATATGTTGGACTCCTTGGTGTAGACCAAAGTGTTCTTCTCCTTAAAAGTGGAAATGACATTACTAAGGTAATTATTAAGAATAGTATATAATAATATATGAATATTTTTTTAAATTTATCGATAGTAAAAATTTCGATTTATGGCTGTTTAGGATGATGTCATAACGGAACTGAGCAGTTATGATAGCAGTTCATCGAGTATGTTTTCGACAATCATGAGAGGTCTTCAAAGAGACAGCATTAGATCCATGTTCTGGTGGCCAGGGTCATTAACTGCTCATGAAGCATTCCAGGTAATTAAATAAATGTATAAAGTTTATTTAATATGGAATTATAAAGAAGTTTGTATTTACTATCACCTTTTAATATTTAAAAAAATCATTTAATACAATTACAAATACCTTTTTTCAGAAATCCGGAGCACTCATCATGACCAATGGTTATGTCCACGAACATACTCCTTGGAGTAAGTATTTTATTCTGTGTTATTATTTGTTTTCTAATAAACAATCATCTCTAGTGTCTAAAATAATATAAATGTTTTGGTGATTTATATTTTTCAAAGTAATAATAATATATAAATTTCTTTGTTTATAAATTGTTTTTAATCTTTCATCATTCAGTGGTACCATATTATTCAAAATAATTTTAAAGTTACATTTTTATGATTTGCCTTTCAATAATTACAAAAGAATTTTGGATAGATAAATGAATAATTGCAAAAAATATTAAAAAGAAATCCAAAATAAAAATAAAATTTAATGAATTTGATTTTTCAGTATTTTATATAAAAAGTAATTGTTTTATTGTAAATACTTCTAAAAACTCTGTAATTAATTGATAGTTTTTTCCTGATATATATATATATATATATATCTATGATATATATATATATATATTGCCTGATTGTTGAGTTCTTGCCAAAAATTGAACCAAAACAATAAATTAATGTCTGTTGGAAGGTACTATTTCCATATTAACATTATAGTTTTTATTTAAATATACTAGTGAAATGTGTATCAGTGTATATACATATGTATTCAGATTTGTAATATGTCCAACCAGAACAAAAAAACCAGAACCAGAACAAAAAATATAAATAAATTATTATAAATCAAATGATGATAATAAATAAAAAAATGGAGGCGAGAAACTGGTTCCAGTTTTCTACATTTGTATTTAATTATTTTTCATGCCCCTGTTTTATATTTAATTATAAATAAAACATTTTTTATTTTATTTTAAACAAGTTAGATTTGGCAAATAGCAACATTTTTAAAAGAAAATTGCTATTGATTTTTTATATACTTATATATTATACTGAAGAAATTTATTTTGAATGATAGATATGATGTATTTATCAATTCTTTTGTTGGCTAATGAACTAATACTGGCTTGTTCTAATTTATCTATCTAGTATTCTTTTAACTCTACCAAAACATTTATGTTAGCTATAAATATTTTTGATGACATATATTTATTTTAAAATTTAAAAATGGGTCATTATAACAAAATAACATCACCATTTATCAATGTATATCTGATCAACACTTTTAAACCTTAACTTTGATACTTAACTCTATGGAGAAATATTCTTTACAATAATTAGATTAGATTGATTTTAATACCTTTATTACTGCCTGTTAATTTATTGTCATTGAAATTAAAACTCATGAAAGTAAAAAAAGTGATTATGATGTATTGAAAATGATGTAGATAATAATTGTTTTGAACATGATATGGGTTTGAAAAAGTAAATTTAATTCACTTATCGCCTATTAGATAAAAAATCAGTGGGTCAATTCTTCTTTAAGTTGGGGTACTCAAGAGTGTAGAAAAAATCGAAGGAGTATTGTAAAGTACTATTACATATTTAAATAAATTAGAATGGTTTATAAAGTGTTTAAGGAGGTACTAGAAATTATAATAAAAGCAATATGAAATAAATTTAAAGTTAAATTTATATCCTCTGTTGCACCGCAATTAACGTAAATTAGTAGCATGTAATCCATTAAGTTGAAATAGTGCCACAATCAATGAAATAGAGTGAAAGGGGTACCAAGGTTTCATCCAGTTAAAACAAATATTTACTTACTTATTTCCGTGATTCTACAGCTCTTTTAGGGCCCTAGCCTCCACAACAACACCTCTCCAATCCTCTTTATCAGCAGCCCATTATCCAATCCCCATCTTCTGCAAATCGTCCTCCACATCATCAATTCATCTAAGTCTGGGTCTTCCTCTCCTTCTTTGCCTCATAGTTTATCATGTAATAGTCTTTTTGGGTATCTATCTTCGCCTATCCTTTCTATGTACCTAAGCCATCTTATACGACTTGATTTTATGTAAGAGACTATGTCTGGTTCTTTATACAGTTCTTGGAGTTCTCTATAATTCCTTATTCTCCATTGGCCATTTATACATAGCGGCCCAAAGATTTGCCGAAGGACCATCCTCCCAGATCTGGAGGATAAAGTGTGGTGGAGTAGTTGCATTCTATCCTGTTCTTCCTGTCCCTAACTTATTGAGGATATCATATATTGGGTTTTTCCTTATTTATTTTAAGACCCAATTTTTCTTCAGCATCTTCAAACTCCTGTAAAGCCCCTGATAGTATGGCTTTAGATCTTGAAGACATTACCACGTCACCAGCATACGCTAAGTGTTGGGTAAGTCTATTTTAGATTGTTCCTCCTGGGTTTGTCTTTATTGCTCTAGCCATTTGCTCCAATGCAATATTAAATAATACAGGAGAGAGAATCTCCTTGGTGTAAACCATTCACTACCTCAAATTCTTCTGACTGAGTGTTCTGTATCTTCACCCTGCATCTGTTTTTTTCAAGGTTCATCACACTCAATCCTAAGAGCTTTTCTGGAACTCTAAGTGCCTTCATTACTTTAAGCAGTTCATTTCTATTGAGGGTGTCATATGCTTGGTGGAAATCGATGAACAGGTGATGTTGATCTATATTACATTCGTATACCTTCTCCAGCATTTCTTGAATAGAGATGTGGTCTATTGTACTTCTCCCTGGTCGAAAGCCACTTTGGTATTCGCCAATATTTCTCTCTACCCATGCCATAATTCTTCTTTGTACTTTGTGAGAATGAGAACTTTGTAGATAGTGCACAGGAGGGTGATACCTCGATAGTTTTGGCAGTTTAACCTGTCTCCCTTCTTATGTATTGGGCACAAAACTGCCACATTCCATTCCTGTAGCATCTTCATTTCCATCCAGACATCATATATAAGATTGTAAATCTCCTCCACCAGTGCCTCGCCACAATATTTCACAACCTCATTCGGAATACTGTCTATTCCAGAAGTTCTGTTATTATGGAGTGCTCCGATTACTTCCTCTCTGTCTGGTGGTATTTCTTCTTCCTCTAACGTCACTGAGTGATAATGTTGCACTTTATCTTTATTGATTGATGATATGTCCGGGTTTAATAGTTCTGTGAAAAACTGCTTCCATCTTTCTAAAACAGATATTTTATCTCCTACTATATTTCCCTCACTATCTTTAATGAATTGCAGCCTTAGTATATAGCCATTCCGAAACTCTCTCATGCTTTTGTAAAATTTTCTGATTTGTTTAGCTGCAAAATCTTCCTGAAGTTTTCCAGCTTTTTTGTTTTATACTGCCTTTTCTTTTGCTTGCATATGGTCTTAGCAACCTTTCTTTAGACATTATACTCTTCGGCTGTTTTTCAGGTTCTCCGTTGGATCATTTTCTGTCTGGCATTGTTTCTTTCTTTAGTGGCCCTAACACAGTGATCATCAAACCAGTCATTTTGGTTTCTTTTTGGTGTGATACCTGCAATATCTTCTGTTACTTCTATGAGAACATCTTTAAAGTTTTTCGACTTTTCTTCTATATTCATATTGGTAGACACCTGTTCTCTCAGCCTTTCTGTTATTTTTCCTTGGAATTGTTGAGCTATAGCTTCCTCTTTTAGTTTTCAACATTGTAAGTTGTAGTGTTTCTTACAATTCCTTTTTCTCTTAGAGCCAGCTTTTGTTTATATAAAATCTTGATCAGATAATGGTCTGAGTTACAGTTAGCTTCCCTTTAACTGCTGACATCAAAAATATCACTGGCGTATCTGGCATCGATGAAAACGTTGTCGATTTTTTTCCTTTTTCCTTTTTTTTTTAACTTTTCTCAGTTTTTTTCCTGGGCTATGGGTTTCAACATACCATATCTCTCCTTGATAACCTTGAGAGTCCTTGATAGCCATTAGACCACTCGTTAAGACAAATAAGCTATTTCAATTTGGTTACAACCTGGCATAATAACATTGATGGTGGTCAACCGTGGTTGATTCTCTTCAATGTTATGTTAAATTTTAAAAAACACACTGCTACTTCTGTACTCTTAGAGCTTCTTATTTATCCTCTCATAACAGCAAGTGGACTGTAGCCCAGACCCAGCATCATTAGAAAATAAATTACTTTATCCAAGAAAAACCATGCCCGTGGATTGTGACAAGATAATACACCATAGAAACAATCTTCACTAGAATAGGTTGGACCTTTAGATGTGATCATTTTATTTTTCCTTTTTAAGAAAATAAAAATTTATTTTCATGACAACTTATTTATATTAACTTATAGAACTTGAATAACTTCAAGCTTCTTACATCCTGGAATGATTGCAATGTTATCTGATTTAACTCTGATGGATAAATCTTCTTTTATATATATTTCTTAATTTTTTTCTTTTATGAAGTTAGATTATAGAGTGAAGGTCTATCATATAATAATGGTTTGTTTCCTAGAAAATTTGTATATATTTTTCTAACCCAACGGTCAGATATACATTTTAACTACCTTTTTTTTTTTAATTTAAGCTTAACAGCTTAGATATTAGTGCTGACTATTAACTTTGCTTTGCATAGTAAATAATAATAATGAGTGTAACATTAACTTATTGAATTATAGTATTACAAATGAAAGATAATTCAACACACTAAGGGCTTTCTTTTAGTTTATAAAATTATATTTTTTCTTACAACAGTTATCTGACTTTAATGTGGGTCCAATGGTTAGATATGATTCTTTGTAGATTATACCCAATGGGATTTTTAGGCATCATTGAAATTGTCTTCATTGAGCCAAATTTACTGAATTTTATTTTCAGAGTATTTTCATGAGTTTCAAATTTTTATTGTAGTGATAATGAGATCAAATTATATTCTAAGCCAAAAAAATCTCTGAATAACCTATCTACATTTTATTGTAATAATTTTATCATTATGACAGAATTAATTTTTTTCTGTAAACCAGTTTATTTAATAATAGAAGCATTTAATTTTTATTTTATATAAAGTACTCTAATATTTATCTTGTCATTATTTGTATAAGAAATAATTTTGTTGCCTTCATTCTTACATACCATAAAAAAAGTCTGTAAACACTTAATTTGTGTTTATTTATAATCACTCTATAATTAATATTTTACTGTATACTGTATAGACTTGTTTTTATTATACTTCATATAATAATAATAATAATACTTTATTTATTCTGGGACGAGTCCCTTTCGAATAATACAGGAAGACAGAAATGAGGGCTAAGGAGCCTCAGAGATACATACATAAAAATACAGAGTAATTGAACAGTCTTTAAAAAAAAAAAATATATATATATATATATATATATATATATATATATATATATATATATATATATATATATATATATGTATATATATACACATATACATATAAGTTGCTTTCCAATTTTGATCAGTTGATAATAAAAAAAATTAAAAAATATAGATTAACAAAAATTGGAGTACTAATAATGAAGAACAAACTGCTAATTTATATACATATTTTCAGTAGTATCTATTTACGATTTTATGGGGACTGGATGGATAAGAAATGATTGAACAGGTGGGATTTAAAGGTGGGAAGGGTATTAGATTGACGGATATGGGAAGGGATGGAGTTCCATAGAGATGAGGATCGGATAATGAACGATTTGTCGAAACAGCGGTTCGGTGGGCCCTTATGTATAAATCAGAAGAGCGGGAACGAGTATTGCGGGAACGAACAGAGGATTTGAATTGAAGGAGCTCGGAGATGTATGAAGGACGGTGGGATTGGATGACTTGAAAGAGGAAGGATCCCAGGAAATACTTACGACGGTAGGAAGGATAAAGCCACTTTAACTCCGCATAACAATGGGAAACAGAGGCGTCCCTTGGGATCCCGAAGATGAATCGTACAAAGCAATTTATCAAACGTTTTAGTTTCACCTCGAGATCCCCAGAGAGGCCCCCATATACTGTACAGCAATAGTTAAAGTGGGGAAAAATTAAGGAAGTGACTAGGAGCCTACGGGTTTCAAAAGGAAATAGGTGACGGGAGTAATTAAGACGTTTTAGGATGGAAATATTGGATATATGATTTTTCCATGAAAGCGTTTGATCAATGGTTATTCCAAGATTTTTGATGGTGGGGTGAAATTTGATGGGATTATTGTGTAGGAACAGAGCTGGAATATTATGGACAGTTTTAAGGAGGTGATTGGAGCCTATTAAGATTGCCTTTGTCTTATCCGCGTTCAACTTCAACTTGTTTGTTCTTGCCCAGTCACAAATTCCATCTAAGTCTTCTTGAAGTTTTTCTGTTGCAGATAATAGGTCGGAGGGCGGAAAGGAAAGGTATATTTTGGAAATCATCATAGATGTGGTATTGGGAGTGACGGATCTGGAGGGGAAGGTCATTGATGTAGATAGCAAACAGAGGGGGCGGGGTGGCCGAATAGGTTAAAGCGTGTGCACAGCACCGCGAGTTGCCTGGCAACCCGAGAACAAGATTTGAGATGATTTAAAAAGTATGAGTTCGCGTTCAGGTGAAAAAAAAAAAAAGATAGCAAACAGAGTAGGAGAGAGAGAGGAACCCTGAGGGACACCACAGGAGAGGGGAAGTGTGTTTGAGGGAGGTTGATCAGGGACTACTACATACTGGGATCGATTGGAAAGAAAGGATTTGAACCAACGAAGGACACTGTTGGATAGAGGAAGATTTTGTAATTTGGTAAGAAGGATGTTATGGTCAACTGTATCAAACGCTTTGGAAAAATCTAGAAGGATGAGGATAGTAAGGTTTTGGTGTTCAATGGAGTTTTGTAGGTCATGGGTTATTTTAAGGAGCCAGATTGGAATGGTTTGATAGAGGAATGTTCCTCTAGGAAGTTTGAGACTTGTGGATTCTCCTTTTTTGCTTATGGCTTTCAACTAGTGGGTTTTCGTGAATCATACCAACTTAGCTGTAATTTCTCATTTTTAAGCATTTTTTCTCATTCTTCCATAATTACTTTTTTTAATTCATTCCCATCCCCATGGGGCATAACCAGCCTCTATAAAGTGGGTACTCCATCATTTTATTATTTCATCCTACGTGTGCTGTATAGGTATGAAGCAAAAAACAGTACTTCCTTTCAAAGTACTGAATCAAAGACCCTTCATGTGTTGTAGTGGTACATGTTTTTGTTACAAAGGCAATAAAATCATTTCATGAACAATTAATAACCGAAAAATAATGAAATATTTTTAAAAAAATAAAAACTGAATGCTTCTGTTACTTAAAAAAAAAAAGGTTTATTGAAAAATAAAGATAAAATTAATACAAAATAAATGTAGGGCGTTCACAGACTTTTTTGGCTCAGTGTACTTTTATAGCTTTATTTATTTTTCATGACATGAATGCTTAGATTTCTGTTCATATATATACGTTATTTATAAAAGAAAACCTTTTGGGTTTTGGATCGGATACTGATTTTTTTTTTTTTAAGTTTCGTTATTTGTCCTGAAAATATGTATATAATTTATATGCACATTTTGCACATTGTATAAATAATTTAGCAATACACCAATGTGAACTACATCATAAAACTCATGACATAAAAACTTGAAGAATTGATTGTAAAGTAGAAAAGAAAAGTTTCATTAAAAATAATGGATACATTTGTATTTACTAAGAAATATAATTAGCTGAGTGAGTTAAGATTTCACAATTTAGTTTTAGCTTTTTATAAGCTAAACATATATTTTTTGTTAGCTGTTTAATTTATTTTTGAGTTATTGCATTAATTCTTAAATATTCAATTTTTTTCCCCTTTTATAAATTGAAACCAAGTTAACTTTAAATAAACTAAATACACATATATGCAATATTAAGTTTTATTGTTGAAATTTATGATATAATAATTAAATATGAAATCAATGTAACTTATGGAAAACTATTTCAGTCTTGGATGAGTATTTAATGAAGGTTGTTCCTGAAGATAAAATCCTGTTTATCAAAGAACGGTTTAAACTAATTATGAAATAAAAGTTACAGGAGTGCAGAATACTCAGTAAAATGCTGAAGTTTTTTTTCCTAAAATATAAATGACGTTTTTCAACGAAAAAAAAGTTATTTGAGTAATTATTAAGTTATTTGATTCTTTGTGCTATGATTAAATTTTCTTCAGTCCCATTTTTCTTATAGTTTTGGGTAGAAATCAATTTTGTGAATGGCTTCTTGTAGATACCATTTTTTTTTTTTTTAATTTATTACATTGTTCATACAAATTTAAAAAAAATCCTTTCTTTTTTTGTGAAAAATTAAAAATCATATACATTTTCATATGACTAGGATTAATTAGTTTCCTCTTCATTGTAAATCATGAAAAAAAAATTAGATCGTGAACTGAAATTAACATACATAAAAAGTATGCTAATTTATAATATGAATGACAATTTCACTCAGCCCTTATGAACAAAAATCAAAATATGGCATAGAAATGAAAATAGCCAAACAAGTCTTGGATGGGTTTGGTATTGGAGGAATTTTGTGGTGTGTGTGCAGTGTTCTACAGAAGTTCGTATGCCCGAGAAGAGGATCTGTTATATGACTCAGATACACCTGAAGCATTAGGGGCAGCTTTCGCCTCCTCTGCACCATCATCTTCATCTTCTGTCCGTGTCAGGAAAGACTTCACAGAAACTTGGTTCTATGAAATGGCTGAGGCAGGGTAATCAGAATCATTTAATTTAGTTTATATTTGGCTTTATTGCATTGTAGGCTTGGATAGCATGTGGCTGGTGGTACACTTATTACTAACAATACGTATACTATTTTCCATTTTCTCTTTTGTAATTATGAATTGATGTAAACAACTTTTTATTCTGCAACATAAATATTATACTTGAGGTATAAAATAATATTATTTCTTTAAACTGGAAAGTGGAATATAGGTATGTTAAAGCTTCTATTTCTTATAAATTACTAACTATAAAGCTTTTGGTGAGGTATTCCTCTTATTCTCCCCTTTTCATCGCTGTGAAGGGCATGATAACAACAGCTTGAGAGAGGATGCCTTTCTAAGCAACATTCCCCCAAGAGGCAAGAAGATAGTGAAACCGGACATCGGCCCTCCTGTCATAGTGAGACCAGTGACAAGACCACCTTTAGCTGGGCCATATGCCTTCTCACGCATACCCAAACCAGTTTGGAATCGGCCAAGAGTATTCCTTCAGTCAGATGTCAGGCCTACCTGGCTCTTCACTAACTTCTCATCAGGGTATGAATGAAACATTTCCCTACCTGCATGCATTTATTTTGAGCACTGCGATTGTAAATATTTTCTATTTGTTCACTTTATAGAGTGTGGTTTGCTTTTTCTTTACTTTTACTTGAGAGTATTATCTATTATTTTCAATAATACTTATTATTTTTAAATACATAAATTTAACTGGAACATGTATCCTGAATATATAATTAATCATAAGTGAATTTTATTGAAAAAAAGGTGCATTACAGGATTTATTTTTTCCTGGATTGATATTTAGCTGATTTGGGATTTTGACCTATCAAAATCCCAAATAAGCTAAATATTCTAATATAATGTTCACTTGGAAGAAGAGAGCCACTATAAGAAAAAGTAGAATTTTGCTAGAAAAAAGTTTGAAGTTTGGTTATTCAACTTTAACTGACATTTTCTTAGCTCACTGTAATAATCATTCATAATCAACATAATCAGACATTTCGTTAGTCAATAGTACTTACATTTTTTGTTAAAATAAAGAAATCTTTAGATCATTTATTATTATCATTCTTTAGAAATCTTTAGATTTAAATTGTTGTTTTTCATTTTTAGAAAGCTAAAATTAATTTTTATTGCAGTAAATATTGAAATTATAAATTTGATGTTTTTTTTCAAAAATATATATGCGATTAGAGGACTTCCCAGTCAGTAAAAAAAAAACAATAATTTTCATAAATGTTGCACTATTCTTCTGAAAGATATGTACACATCATTCTAGGTCTGAAAGAAATATAAATGACAAAAATTTGTAACAAAACTGTTATTACAGATTCCCAATCAATGTATTGGAACAATCCAAATTTTTAATCATATTCTCCACTTCATTTTTTAGAAATTTTATATTAACTTGAAAATAAAATAATAATCAATAGAATAATAATGATAGAGTAAGAATTATGTTTTCCAATTGGAACAATGTTCACACAATTACGTTTCCAAATAGAAGCAACAAAAATAGTGGAATCATTTATGTAATAATATTCTTACAGATGGTTGTCAATAAGATGATGGTTGTTAAAATGATGTTGATTATTGAAGAAGCATCCTAATAATACTTAAAATAAAGTATTTTTGTTGTCATCTCACTATATTTTCATTCATTTAAATTTATTATTATTATTTATTTAATTATTTTTAATTAGTGTTATATTATTTTCTTTTTATTTGCCTGTCATGCACCTCAATCATAAAAAAATCATTTTTTTTCTTTATTTAAATTAGTTGTATTCAATTTAGTTGTATTCTGTTCATACTTTAAAATATTTATGCGATCAAAATTAAGTATTAAGATTTAAGACATAAAAATTCAATATTGTTTAACAGAATCAGATATTCTACCAATTGATGATTGATCATTGATTTTTTTGTTTAATTTAATATTATCTGAATAGACTTTAATTTTTTTTTTTAATTCAATAAGGTATAACTTCAGGCCAAAAATTTAGTTCAGTTGTAAGCCTACTTTCATTCATTTGATTAACTTTGAAACATTGTTTGGATTATTCTTATATGTTTCCGAGTCTATACAATTTATACTCCAGCTTCTAGAAATATTTTCAGCTATATATTTTATTATAAATACATAATGTTTAACTGTCTTATTTTTCAGTATTGATGGAAAAGGAAGTTTCAAGAAAGCTGTGCCTGACACTATAACATCTTGGGTAGTGTCAGCATTTGCTGTTGATCCACTTTATGGTCTTGGAATTTTAGATATTCCGAGAAAGGTACTTATTGAAACCTAAATAATCTGTAATGTAAAAAATAACTTTACTGTTAGAAACATAATTATCGTTAACATTATGCACCTACTTACTTATATCTACAGTGTGCAATGTTCAGTCACTGAGGATGGACTATTACCATTCCTTACTATTACTGTACAATTCCAAAACCAAATTCTCCCCATCTCATATTTATTGAGCCATGAAGTTCTTTATACCATTTAAATTTTTAGAATTATGATATCTAGCTTTGCCAAAGTTGCTTAAGCCTAGGAAATTTGACTTGGTCAACATAGTTATAGATTTTTTGAAGTTGAAATTTCATAGAAAAAGTTAAATATGCAATCTAAAATTCCAAAACAGGAGAAAAAAATTTACCCAACTAATCATGATAGTCCTTCTCTATATGTGAAGGGTAAAAATGAACCCCAAGTGATCTCAATAGCTCATTCATCTATTTTATTATTTCCAATTCATACACCTCCATTTTAACTTACTTTTATTTTAAAAATTAATTTTCTGTTACTATTATTCAATACATTTGAAAACTCAAGAAAATTTTAATTTGCCGATTATTCAAATAATGTTAATGATCAACCTAGTGAGTGTTATTTACATCTCACTTTATATTTTCTTTCTTATTCATTTTATATTTTTGATTTCTGTCATTGTTTTAGAAAAATAAGAATTTAATTTTTTCATTTTGAAAATTGTTTACTTATTTATATTTTAATTATAGGTTAAAGTATTTCGACCATTTTTCGTCTCTCTCGATCTACCATACTCCGTGATAAGAGGAGAAACAGTTTCTATACCTGTTGTAGTCTTTAATTATATGGACAAAGCTATTCAGGCTGAGGTTACCTTTGAAAACTCAGGAGAATTTGAATTTGCTGATTATTCAAATGATGTTAATGATCAACCTAGTGAGTGTTCTTTACATTTCACTGTATATTTTCTTTCTTACTAATATCTATTCATTATTTTTTTATTTTTTTTTTTTTTTACAGAATTGGAACTTTTCCGAAGGAAGAAATTATCAGTTGCACCTAATAGTGGAACTACTACTTCATTTATGATTACACCAAAAGAAATAGGTTACATTACTATTAAAGTTACTGCTAAAACTGCATTAGCAGGTGATGGAGTTGAAAGAAAACTTCTTGTCAAGGTGATTGATATTTTTTTAAAATATTAATCAATGATGATGTTTTGATATCTTTTTTCTAATCTAATAGAATTATTTACATTTACTGAAATATTCCTTCACTCATTGTGTCAAGAAACGACAAACAGTGGTGGATAAGAATAACTGGCATGAATGTGGGCTGAGATTTAAACTCTATTTTACTAAAAATCTAGTTAAATAATAATTTTTTAACAGACAAAGAAATTTTTCTTTGTTATTGTTTATTTTGGTATATTGACTTATAAGTAAATCGAGATTATATTTATTGACCTAATAAATGATTGTAAGGCCAAAAATACATAGGTTTGATAAATGTAGTGTGGAATGGAGAGCTTGAAATAGGTAGATTTAATCCCAAGGCTGCACTAATACTTTATGAAATGGTGAATATAATGAAATGCATTAGAATATAAGTTGAAAGAGTGTAAATTTATATTTCTCACTGGAAGGACACTTAAATTTTGGAGGCCATGGTGGCCAAGCATCACCTTAGTGATCTTAAGTCAAAAGTTGTTGGAAAATGTTTGAATTGTTATGGCAGAGCCAGGGAACAAATCTCGACTTTTCCAATTTGTTTGAAATAGGTTGAAAACCTGGAGGATAACTCTTCCTCAATGCCCTTGTAATAAACCCCAAATAATAAAAAATAAAATAAAAATAAAAAACTTAATTTTAGCCAGTGCATAAAAATAAGAAGGTAAAAGTCAATAAGATATTTATGTTTTTAAAAACTATTTAAGAATTACAAATTCTACAATAGGCTGGGTTAGAGATTGAAAACCAGGTGGATAAAGAAATCTTGAAAAAAAAATTAATACTCTGGAATTGAATGGAAAAGCGATAATTCAGTATAGATTAATTGAGCACCAATATGAATAAGACTAACCAAATACCATTAATTCTTCCTTCAATAATTCAGTCTTCTTATACAAGAATTGTATTGAAATTACAATCTTGAAAATACAAACCTTGATTAATTTATCTAGGTGTGAAATGTGAGCATAATATCAATAATTACGATCAGTATTTTTTATTTGTTCAACATTATTTGTATTTTCTAAATTTGATGGTCACCAATCAAATATAAATTACCATCTATAAATCCATGAATGCTGTTATTGTTGAATTATATTTTATATTTACTAATTAAAGTAATATTTTTGTATTTACTCAATCATAATATAATATGACATGTTGCTAATCATATTTATGGTTTTTAGGAATATGCTTCAAATGATAAAATTATATTTAATTCTAATTAAAGCAAAAGTAGTTAATTGCAAATTATGAATATAATCTTTGAAGTAATGCCAAGCCTTTTATTTTGAATGTAAACTCATTAGAGAAGTACTGCAGAGAAAATTTTCTAGAGTGGGAAATATTACTAGAAACATTTTCTATTCTTTGACTAGTCTATAAAAACAATGGATGAGAATCCATGCTACAAGCAAACTGCTCAGTTTTCGACTAACCACAAAAAGAAATAAACTTATTTCCTGTGATTCTTTTGTAAAGAATGCTCCTATTCTAGAATTTCATATATTTATGCTTCAGTATTTTATTTTTGTTACATTTTTCAGTAATTGGTAGCATATTAACACTCTAAAGGTCGCTAGACTCAGAGTTACATGGATGGTCGCTATGGATCTGTGAGATCCACTTCACAAAATCAATTTATTAATGAAAAATATCCACAAATTTCTCATTGTATTGAAAAAAAATATATAAGCTAAGTTATTAAATATATTTATTGAGTAAAAAACACGGTTACACAATTTTAAAAAAATATTAAAAATCAAAAAGAAAAATACGTTGATAAAATTAGGAACTTGAACATTAAATTCTGTATACCATTAAATACCAACACAAAAATCACTGAATACTGGGAATAATTATAATAGGATTAAATTGGAATAAAGAGTAATTTATAAAAACATTACAACAAGAACATCAGCCTCTAAAGGCCTCAAATTTCTCATCAAGGTCAAGTCTGCTCCAAATGAATAACAAGATTGGCAATTCCTGACAAACTCTTCAAATATGTCCCAAACAGGTGGCAGTTGGTCTATTTCTTTAATGTGTTCTTAGGGATTCTATTCTTAGGGGGTCTATTTCAAATCTTAGGGATTGAAAGAAAATTGAAATCTTCGAACACTCATAGTGATTCACCCCACTACTGGATCGTAAGATTCCAAGAACCAGAATAAAACGAGGAGGGAGAGTCCTTCATCAAATAGACTGCTCGGCAGATCTCTCAGATTGGATTCTACCTTCGGAGTTTTAGTTAAACTGCATATTACATGGCATATTTCAAAGACGTAAAGCCGATCCTTAATAATAACTACAGATTAAATTAAAATATTGTAAATAGGATAAGAAATAGACAAATATTTCTTATATCATTTGTAGTAATACAATTTTTTTTTTTTTTACAGCCGGAAGGAGAAACACTGTACAAAAACAAAGCCTTCTTTGTTGACTTAAGAAATACCAATTCTTTCAAAACTAATGTAACTTTAGATATACCAGCAAATATTGTTCCAGGTTCTGAATTTATTGAAGTTTCTGCAGTTGGTAAGTTTTTTCAGTTTAAAATCTATGAATATTGTTATTAATATGTTTTATATTTAAATTTATTCAAGTGTATATATTCTAAGTGTTGGATTTATATCCATAATTTTTTATACATATTATTTGGTATTTCTACATACCAATAAATAATATACTATATATTAGTAATAGGCTTGTATAAAATAACATTGGAGTCCCCTGGTCTTATCCTGTCCTATCTCCTCTCGAGTACTTATCAAGGAGTACCTTATCTGCGAGTGAAGTCCAGATGCTTGAATAAGCTCACGCCTTCGTCCTCACTTGCTCTGTCGACTTCACAGCTCATGGCTAACAGAGAAAGAGAAGGGTATCACAGCCCTTCGACTACAACTAAGCTGGACGTCGATTGAAACAATCCGGACGAGACGAGGAACCGAGACGGCTTAGACTAGTCAGAGGACAGAGGCAGCATAGGGAGAGAGGCAAGAAATCGACAGGCATGGTACTCAGAAATTGTCCCTTCAGGAAGATTAGAGGGAAATAATATTAAAAGGGATTAATGAGATAACAATTGGTGCCATTTACAAATATTCCTCCATAAAAATTTTCATTTTTTTTATCTTACAAGGAAAGGGTTCCCGGTCATATAGCATGTACCGGGCCCCCCATATTGTACACTAAGTAAGACCCTTTTTATGCACATACAACCTCCTGTTGTTGAAATAACCTTTAACTTACAAATTAGTTATTATTTCTTCAATACAAATTGAATCATGAACTTAAAATAATTTAAAAGAAATCAAAATGCTCAAGATGATATATTTCAAAAGATTTGAGCATAATCTGCCAGCCTAAACTTCACTCAGAGGGATCTATCTCCCTGAAGTTTTTAGCATATATGAGATTAATTTTTTTTATAATATTAACCTATAAGTCTTTTGAAGCCTTCTTAGCACAAAACTAATTACCAAAAGAATTTAAATCACCTGTAGTTCGCAAAAGTTTTTCTCTTCTCATGGGTTAGATTTAATTATTTTGAAAACTGTAAGAATTTTATGTTGCAAAAAATTTTCTATATTGTTGACTGACCAAAGATTTTATTTATTTTTTTTTTAAGGTGATCTACTGGGACCAAGTATACTGAATTTAGAGCATTTGATAAAAATGCCTTATGGTTGCGGAGAACAAAACATGTTGAATTTTGTTCCAAACATTGTTATTTTAAATTATTTAAAGGTATTTAGTAATTTCTATTTTATTGGTTTTATTTGAGACGGTTTATTGGTTTAATCTTAATTTATAAATATGTTTAATTATTCATCAAACAAATAGATAATACTATTAGACTTACCATATAAATTTTTTCATACAAGTTGGTCCATGAGAATAATTCGAATAGTATATTGGTCAGTCAATAAATAACAAAATAACAAGGATAGAAAGAAGAAGAATAAAATAATGCGATGTAAAATGAAGGAATCAATTCTTATTTTCTCGGTAATTGTAATTTACCAAGGAAAAAAAATTTATTTAAAATTGTTTCATGTTTTAAACCAACATGTTTACAAATTAAAAAATCTGGCGTGTCCACTCACTCAACTTAGGGTAGATCAGTGTAAAAATTTCAATACTCTCTAATATTGCTGATCAAAAACTTTTTGTCATAGCTTAATTTTGTCAAACAATAATTTCTATTAAAAGTAGAGGAAATAGTGAAGCTTGTGTGACCCGGGCAACAGATTTTCTTACTTTCACTTAGTCACCTTTTTTCTCTCATTCATCCCTTTCTGACTCCAGGATATGGACACGTAATCTTACATTGGAAATTGAATAGCTATAATTTCGTTAATAGTTGTCCAAAATGAACGATTTTTATATAGTTTTGTATGGAATTTCATTACCTTTAAAAAAAAAACAGGCTAAACGGGGTTTTGTTGGAAATTTGATCCGATCGCAATACTTTCCTTACCTATATAGGTAAGTATAGGTAGAGTATAGGTAGGAAAGTAATAAATTAAAACATGTGTAGAAAATAGAATAAGCTGTATCATCGTTATTACTGGTTCGATTCCGATGATTAATTCTTTGTTATGTTAGTAATTTAATTACAATCAAAAGTTTTATTATAAATTTTACCGTATAATATACACTTAGTTAGTTAGGCCCCAAAACATTTTTCTGTTCTTTATAACTTTTGTTTCTGAATTTTCTTGGGAATTTAGTCCATATACGAAAATTGAAAGAACAATTATTAGAACATTATAGGAAAGTTTTATCAAAATCATTAGAGCCATTTTCGCGCTACAGTCTGTAGAAAAGCATATTTTTCATTTATTGTGTGCAAGCTATTGTGCATGGAGGACTGAATTCCTGTCACAGGAATCAGTAGTCAAAACCCTACAAAATAAAAAAAGAAGCAACAAAATCGATTCAGTAGTTCCTGAGAAAATCTTGGCACAGACAGACAGACTAATGGCTAAAAATGTTTTTTTCGGACTGAAGGGGCTCTGAAATGTCTAGATCTGTCGAAAACCACATATCGGAAATTTGACCCGATCGCAATACTTTCCTTATCTAGTATAGGTAGGGAGGTAAAAAAATCCGACTTTGAAATTGTGGAAACTTAAACATTGTAGTAGATTGATAGGGAAATTGACATCTATGAATATATTAAATTAGGTGTAATAGTCGGGTGGTTTTCTCAACACATTACAGCTCCAGGCAAATATATTTGATTTCATTCCATGTATCGATACATATAAACATCAGAGCCTTAATTTGTTCAGTTTGTAATTTTGTTTGGGGGTGGGAGCCATCCCACTACTACACCAAGTTTAAATATTAGTAGATGTCAATTTATCTATCAATCTAACATAGGAAATATAAGTAGATATGGACGCACATTTCCTTAGGATGGGTAGGATTTTCCAATTTCTGAAGTCAGATTTTTTTTTTAATTCAAATATTTTTTTATTTTAAAATTTAAAATATTTACAATTTATTTTCATAACATACGATCACATGATATAATTTCAAATCAATTAATAATCAAGCAACTCAAATTGTTTTCAGTTTTTGTGCTCCAATTGTTTAAAAACATTCATAGGAACTCGCAGAGTAATTAAAGCCTTCAATGCTCAAAATTGATCAAGCCATCCTCTCAAAAAAAAGTTATGTTACCGGATTGATTAAACACATTACACTGTAATTTGTCAGAATTTTGACATCAAATTCTTTCAAAACATTTGGGACCTCACCGAATAATTTAAGATTTCATACTTAAAAATCGATCCTATCGCACATTCAAAAAATTGTAGAATTTAGTAATTTTTCAAATAATTAATTGAATTATTCGTTTGATTATAATCAAACCAACAGAAAGACACCTTTGAGAAATAATATACATAGATAAACTCTTCTCTCATTCATAGAAATCTAGTTAATGACATGTGGTATGTTTTCCTCTGCAACACTACAATTAACATGAGGTTGTTACTGATATTTGGTACAAAATTGATTTCGAGCTTTCGTGAAATAATATATGTAGGGATAGGGATTAGCAATTCATGACAAACCATCAAAAATTCACTATTGTTAGAATAAGGTTGGGTCCATTCTTCTTCACAAAAACAGTACATTTTAGGATTTTAAAATGCAGCGCCCAGTGTAGTTCTTTAGAAAATTCTGAAAAACTATACTGGGTCATGATATGGGCATTGAAAATTTTAAAAGACAATTTATCCTGCCTAAATCTGTCGACATTTGAAACCATCTGTTTTATTAACTCATAATTTTTTCAATGACTTTTATTGTAATTGAAGTAGTCTTCAGTTTTAAAATTATGGTTCATCATTTCTCAATGAAATTCTCTTTCATTTGATACTTATATCATAATCCATCGCTCCTGAGAGCCAGAAAAGGTGTCTACACTACTGTATTATATATAGTGTTGATTTTTATTATTTCACTGTAATTTTTTTCAACCCATTAAATAAAATAAAATCATCGTGACCGATTAGAAATTTGTAAATTTAAACAATTTCTTCCGATCGAAGGAGCAAAGTTGGTTCAAATATTTTTTTTAATAAGAAACAGAGTCGATATTTGTATTTCGCACCTCCAAAAATCCTCAAATTTTCATAGCAATTTTCCAAAAATCACAAAAAGTGTGGTAACTTCAACATGTTGCCATCTATCCACATGGAAATTAACAGGGATTTAGGGCCACATAATTACATAAAAATTATATTTTATGTTATATTTAATACATAAATTATGTTTATGAAATTACATAAATCATACTCCCATAAATGTATTAGAACTGGAGATATAAAATAAAAACGCGTAAGGAGTTTTTATTTATTTATTCCTTATGGAGGTATTAAAGCAAAAAGTTATTTATATGGTTTTGAAGAGCAATAATTCAGCTTTCCAATGGTTATAGTAACATTCAATTAAGAGAAAACCCTGAGGAGTTATGAATGTTTTAGTGAACAGCAGGGGAAAAATTTCTAATGAAGAGTATAATGGTTGATTAACGAAGCTCAACACGGCACTACTATCTTTGTATATTATTTCTCAAAGGTATTTTTTTGTCACAACACCATATCTTCATCAACTCCTATAATTGAGTTTTCATTTTTAAGATCTTCTCCTTCAGGTGGGAAAAATAATCACATCCCTCAAAATTACAGGAAAAAAAGTTATGATGGAAAAGAAACTTTATTTGTGAATAACTCATATTTTAGTATACATTTTTTCTTGATTGTACCCATGATTATTTGAAAAATTACTAAATTCCCTACAAAACAAAAAAAAAACACATCAAAATCAGACAATATTTAGGAAAGATACAGCCTTTTAGTAGTATACACACATTTTGTTTATTACCATTAATAAAATAATGTGGTTCCACTAAGAAAAACAATCACTTTATCTATCTTATAATACATTGCACTAACTTATTTCTATATTATATTGTCCTTTGTTTACTAATCAATATACTATATGAATTATTCGCACGGGCCAACTAGCTTTAATTATTGAAATATATAATGATTTTGAATTTTTCGAACAGAACTCCAATCAGTTAACTCCTGCCATTGAAACTAAGGCAAAACGATTCATGGAAACTGGATATCAACAGGAATTAACATATAAGCATTCTGATGGATCATTTAGTGCCTTTGGAAGTGCTGATCCTAGTGGCAGCACCTGGTAAGAACGTTCATACAATTTATTAGTAGGCCTAAAAATTTGGCTAACAATTCTTAATAATAGAATTATTTGGACAAATAATTCTATCATACATTTTTTTTCTAATATTTAAAATCCCATCAGCCCTGCCTGTATTTTTTAAATTTGTAATTCTTTATTTGTGTGTTTCATTGTAAAAGCAATACCATTTCTTACTACTAGATAAGAGCACAAGTGTTCTTAATGAGTTTGACTGAACATGACTATTATTTGGTACTATGTGATCATACATTTTCAATAATTCATGCTATCCCTGTTAATTTTAAGGAAAAAACTACAAGCTTTATATAACTTTATTTCGAGGCCCTGTTCACTGAACATGTTAAGGCCTCACCTTAACATTGTTATGCCAGAAGTAGCTCTGGTTTAAATCCAGCTGTGGCAGGTTGGAATTTATTTTATGGTGGTGCTCAGAATCAACCTCAGCCTTCCCACTTTGGCTGTAATAGCCTGATAACCTGTTGGATAACCCATCCTTCCTGTCTTAATTTGATATTAAACCTCAAATAAACAACTTTTTTTTTTTAGTAAGATAAGCGCTCTATTTTCATGAAATATTTTTAGGCTGACAGCTTTTGTAGCAAAATCATTTTACCAAGCAACACCACACATTAATGTAGAAGACATTATTATCAAAGAGGCATTGGACTGGTTGGTTACAAAGCAAGAACCAAATGGTAATTTAACTTATTTAATATTTCAGAATCGCATTTTCCATATAATATTATAAATTTATTAATTATTGAATAATTAAATTTTTTACTTTAATAGGAAATTTCCCGGAGGTTGGGACCGTAAGCCATACAGATATGCAAGGTGGTGCAGGAAAAGGCCTAGCTTTGACAGCTTATGTTCTTACAGCTCTATTAGAGAACAGAAGATTTTCAGCTCCATTAAGGAATTCCATTAATAAAGCAACAGACTACATTGTTAAGAATTTTGATGGATTAGATGATATTTATGCCATTGTTTTGTCCACTTACGCCCTTCATCTTGCACAGCATCCAGCAAAAGATAATGCTTTCAATGTTCTTGAATCTAAAGCCAAAACATCTAGTAAGTGTTTTTATTTTAATCAGATATATTTCTGAGATTACTATTTAAAATTAGATATGTACATGCTTTAATTGTGCAGTGTTAAACAGTAAAGATTAATGCTTTTTTAGATGAAATGAAATGGTGGACTAAAAATGAAAATTTAACTGATGAGAAGAATCCTAATGCTTTACTACCTAATTCAATTGATGTTGAAATGACAGCATATGCAATGCTGGTATACATTAATAGAGGTCTTATTGAGGATTGTCTACCAGTTATGAAATGGCTGTTCACTCAACAAAATGATCAAGGTGGCTTTGCTTCAACTCAGGTTTGTTGTTACTGTTATAAAAACAAGACTGGAGTCTTGAAGGCTGGGCTCTAGAGCCTTTAAACCTTGAACCTCTAAAGCTCCAGTTAAAGGTTCACAGAGTTCCAGCCTTGATGAATTTATTTTAAAAAATAAATTAAATTATTGTACGTTCTTGTAAACAAATATATTTTTTCTGTTAGTTGTAACAATGTGAATATATTTTTGGTGCCCCTCTTGGCAATATGTTAGGAATTGGTGGGTGATTTTTCATTTTACTATTCTTTTTTTTGAGGGAAGGGGGATTTAACTTCACAATTTTTTTTTAAAAGATAAAATAGCAATATGATTGGGTAGATGGGTGTTACTTTGTTTAGCTTTTTTTGGGATTGACGATTAACGCTCCCTCTTTGAATTTTTTTTTTTTATAAAATGGCAATATGCTTGGGTAGGTGGATGATACTTTGTTGAACTTTTTTGGGGGGAGGAGGTTAACCCCCACTCCTCTGAATTTTTATATAAAATGGCAATAGGTTTGGGTAGGTAGGTGGCTGATTTTTTTTTTTAGTGGCATATTGTAACATCTCTCTTATATTTTACAAATAATAATATGGCCTCATGGAAGATCACTTTACACTGTTGGGATACTTCCTAAATAAATAATAGTTAGTTAATAAAAAACAAATTATAAGAGTATTAATATATTAAATTGAAATGTATACTTATTTTATCTCAAGGTATCGGTTACTGACAATCAGATCAAAACACTGTTTATACTGACATTAAACACAGATTTTAAAATAAAGTCAACTATGAATTGGCAAGCTAATTTTTTTTCTATAGATACTCTTTCTTCCTTTGTTGCACTAAATTCATTTCTCTTCAAATGCTTTCCAATATTCTGCCAAAAACAACTTCAAAGATGGTAATACTATTACTGGGTTTTACCCACTGGAGCTAAGATGCCTTCTCCAATCCTCTCTTCACCCCAGCCAAATACCAACTGCTTGCTAATACAAAATTCTTTGTCCTTCTCCTCTTTTGTAATTTTCCTTTCTGGGAAAACTATAGAGAAGTTATTTTCTTTTCCCTGAACTAGTGAAACTAGATTAGCTTGCATTTTAACTGTTACATTAATTTATTAAATCATTTTTAACAACTTTCAATTAAGGTTTATATTAAAATATATATATTTTTTTTTCTGCCTTCCAAAAACATATGGATCCATGAAACCTATACTGATTGTTAAAAAGTAAATATCTTTGGTCGAATTTAAATAATTTTGATTATAATGATATTTAACGAAGCCAAATAAACAAATTTTGTATAAATATTTATAATATTGCTGGATTGATTTAAACATTGACATCTAACACTTATTAGTCACAAAAATAAAAATATTTTTTTGTTTCATAAAATGGGAAATACATTTCTGTAAAGCCATTATATTTCAACAATAGATTCGAAAGTTTAGTTTTCTACACAATAACATTAAATCCATATAGTCCGTGGTACAGACCTCTTTTTATCGAATTATTAACATCTGCCTGAAACTTTGTGAATAGTTTCATCTCATCATAACCTACAACTATTTTATTTACGAAAACTCTTGGAATTGGAGCATTTTCAATCTGGAAGGGGGCAAACTTTATCTATTTAATTAGGTACTAAAAACTCGTAAATACCCATTTGCTTTCAATTCAAAAATATTGAGCCGTTTGGCGTGATTTACACCCCCAAATTTTCAAAATAACGTGGTTATATTGGACAAATGATCTAATATTTTTGTAGGTCACATTTTTTATCGATTTTGTGATCACATTATCTTACGATCCAAGTAGAAAGCAGATAGGTATTTATGAATTTTTAGTACCTAATTAAATAGACAAAGTTTATCCCCTCCTGATTGAAAACGCCCCAATTCCAAGAGTTTTCGTAAATAAAATAGTTGTAGGTTATGATGAGATGAAACTATTTACAAAGTTTCAGGCAGATGTTAATAATTCGATAAAAAGGGACCTGTTCCACAGACTAATATGTTAGGAGTATCTACTTATTCTAATAATAAGTATTAAATATTTTAGATACTGTATGAAATTCAGTTATTGTGATGCTACATAAATTCTTTCATCAAAACTCTATTTATCTAATCCAAATAAAACTATTGATATAATAAAAATTAGAAAGTAAATCAGATTGCCGCTATTAAATTTAGTAGATTGTTTTACTGCCTGTATTTTGTGATTATTGTTTGATATTTTTTGATAAAATATTTTCTTGCAGTGCTAATTATTAGTTTCAGTCTTAGATTCATCTAGTCTCTGTTATAGGACACAGTCGTTGCTCTTGGAGCTCTAGCTGAACTTGCTACCTCTATCAGTTCAGGTTCGGTTGATGTAACTACATCTTTCTCATATGGAAATGGTATTACTAAGGATATACGAATCAACTCTGCTGTTTCAATGATTCTTCATAAAGTTGAGGTTTGTATTATATATCTGGCATAAAAGAAATTAAATAATTACACTATTGTCAAACATAAATGAAACTTATTTATTGTTATTAATGTATTATTTTTACTTCACAATTTCAATACATTAATATATTGAAATTGAAAGATACAATTTTTTATTATTTTTTCAGATTTCTAATCAACTAGTAATTAATTAGATTGTACATAGACAATAATTAATTATTGATAGTCTTTTACAATCAATAATATATATATATATGAACCTGGAGTGCAATTTTAAGCTTGATAAACCAATCTAAAAAAGAATACATGAGTTTGATGAATAATGTTTTTAATCCTCATAAATATATTAAGTTAATCATATTTGCAAGTGCCATAATTTAAAATGGTAAATTTATTACAGCTTAATTATTTATTAAAATTAAAAATAACGAATTAAATTTTGGGCTATAAATCAGTAATGACAATTAAAGCTAAAATATATAAATAACATAAATAAATTATTTATAATATATGTTGATTCAAATTAAATGTTTTCAGTATACAAACAAAACTTTATAAAGTCTGGTGTGTGCATCCCTCAACTTTCATTTATCACCCTACTTTGGTCATAAATTAATTTCCGCTCAAGTAGGGTTAGTTAATATTTAAATCTATTACCAGGTCTAAAATTATCAAACCGAAGTTAAATCCTTAAATATTTTAACCAAATGTTTTTCCACCTTTACAGACAGCTTAAAATATTGAATTTTTTCTCTAATCTTAGATTCCTAGAAAAGTTCGTCAGATCAACGTTACTGCTTCTGGAAGCGGGCTCGCAGTTGTGCAGGTTTCTTATCGTTACAATGTCAATGTAACTGGACCATGGCCACTGTTTTTATTGGACCCACAAGTTGATAAAAATTCTGACAAAAACCATCTCCAACTGTCTATTTGTTCACGGTATGTATCAATTTTGTGCTTTGTAAAACAACTCCAAACATTTTCACAAATGGTTAAGGTTTTTATTCTGGCTTAGAACCAAGAGTGTTATAGAAAATTTAAGAATTTTTTATTTATATAATAATATAATGACTCGCATAAATTTATATCTTAATATGCCGGAACTTTTTGAAATATATAGTAGACTCCAGCTAATTTTTACTAATTTATTTTATCTAAATATGCTTTGTTCTGCTAACAGCTCTATTAATTGTCACTTATCTCTATTGAAATATGTTTAGTACATTCTTGTAAATATGTTTACTTGGTCATATATTACCTAGTTACATCCAGCTTAGTATATCAGTAGGGTACATGCATTGGAAAAAAATCTTGAGCTGCAAATGAATGCAAGGGATAAAGAATTTATATACAAATGAGATGGCACTTTTTAAATAATAAAAAAGGTTCACATTTAGCTATATACTGCTATGTTCCTGGCCTCGCGTTTCTACGACAAGTAGGGGGTTCCAAGAACCGCATTTATTTGTATTTATTACTTAAATTGGTATTTATATCGGTCCCAGAAGAGAACGGATCTACCGAAAAATATATTAATTCTGTATTTAAATGTTAGATACCACAGACCCCCTACTGTAGTATCCTAGATTGAACCATATAATTTTTATTGGATTTCTTTTCTAAAGGTATCATGTTTTTAAATTTACTATTTGTATTTATATCTAATTGGTGGCATGCAGGGTAGATGGTAAAAGTACTAAGATGGTTTACTAACGAATATATTTATCAACTTCAACAACCAAAAACATCTATATACAAAATAATAACTAAACCTATATACATAATAATAGTTGAGAATCATACTAGAGGAGAATGCTTGATTAGAGTTACATGTGTTCTATTGATTTTATTAATTAATGATTTATGGTTGCCAACACAAATTTACATCTGTATAACTAAATGAGGGTTATTACCTAGCTGGTGAGGGGTGTTGTCGTTATCTCTAGCTGTTCTGGCTACCTCTCTGGAAGCTCCGTCGATCTGGTCTTCAAGTCTTCATCTTGCTCCCTCCGGCTGTCTTCTAGCCTGAGTCCCAGCTATCAGTCCATATCTTCCTCTCTCCGCTTCTCCTGATCAAGTCCTCGCCTGTGTCCCAGCTCTCAGTCCATATCTTGCTCTCTCCACCTCTCCTAATCGAGTCCTTCCTCGCTTCCTTCCCAGCTTGAAGTCTCCTCAGCTGAGCCCCAAAAAGAAGTCCTCTGGCCTGAGTCCTAGCTCTCAGTGTTCAGTCCCAATTCTCTATTTCCCAACTTTCTTCACCCCCCTCTCTTTTGGTAGTCTTTTCTGATTGGCTGAATATTCCTAGCCTAAGGGATGACCACGCCCTCTCCCCCCTGGCTAAGGTAAAGCAGCAAGTACAGATTTACGTATTTCTGGTGGAAGGTGTGAAATGTCTTTCGGGATCCTGTTTAAACACTCAGTTGTCGGTCTTGGTCGGTGGTTCTTAAGGGTTTTTATTACCACTTACAAAAGGTTGTCCTCGTGGGTCGTTACCCTCCCTCAGGTACCCAACCGTCAGATGTGAGCACTTCTGATGTTTATTTATTTATACCTTTAAACTAATTATTCCACCGGCGGTCTTTACAATACATAGCAATACTTAAATGTTGGGAAAACCTTGATTAAGAAGTGATTTCCTATTTTTGGTGCGATAAGAATACTGGAAGTCAGAATACTGTTTGGCTCTCATGGTGTGGGAACTCTTTTTTTTAGAAGTGGCTCACATTGTGTTGTAGTGAGGAGAAATTGCTAAAAACGATAGGTAAGGATATTACTCGTTTCTACCAAGGCTCACATCATAGTGTCTCTTTCTGTGAAATATATCAATAAGAAATCCCATCAAGTGTTATTTTAGATTGGTTTCCTTCTGATAAGTGCCATCTAATTAAGATATCCAGCTACATTATTTATGTTTGATTTTTTTCATTGTCTGATTCTGTGAACATCCCCATTACCTGCTAGTATGATATTTCTCCAATGAAGGCATAATGGTAGTAGGATATCAGCAAATTATTTATGTCTGTTAAAATGATTTTGTATAAACCCTTTAAATGTTGTAAAATATTTAATTCAATTTTTTTTAAATTTAGATTCACTGGTGGCAATGAAAGCAACATGGCTGTAATGGAAATAGTGCTTCCATCGGGCTATACTGTTGACTCTGATGCTCTTCCTAGCCTTCAGCTCTCCCATAAGGTTAAACGAATTGAAACAAAGGAGGGTGATACAACTGTTGTGCTATATTTCGACAAGGTAATTTTCGTTAGTTTAAATTTATTAAAACTGCTCTTATTTGTATCTATCATATTTTTTCTGCAACTTTATTGAGAAATAGGTTAAAGGACCAATGTTATACTAGACTTTGTAAAAATAAAAAGTAAACCCATTCTTAACACCTAATTATCTTCTGAATCCACTGTTAGCTTACTATGCTTAAAACTTGTGAAAGTCAGTAGTAATGAACATTTGATGTTTAATGTTTCTAAACATGTAGCATTTGAAAAGCAAATAAAAAAAAAGGCCATACGCCATTGACAACTTTTCTCTGACTACTGGTCTGATTTTTTCAAAAAGGTATCTCACTTCTTATTTTTATTATGAGTGTTCATTTGGATTTATACCATCTTGGCAAATCTATAATTTTAATTATTAGACACTGTTTGATTAAATTTTTTTGTTCTCAATTAAAAAATTCTAATAGTTATATATGTATGTATTTTCAGATGACAAAAGAAGAAATTTGTCCTACGATCTCTGCATATAAAACACATAAAGTAGCATTACAACGCCCTGTGCCAATTGTTTTATATGATTATTACGATCAATGTAAGTTGTTAATTTTTTTTGTGTTTCATTACTTGAACTATTATGATAATTGTTTAACTCATCATCATAAATAGGCAAAGGCAAAACATTTCAGCCCCCTTTTTTTCTCTGTTTTTCAACCGATTTTCTTTATTATTTTTTGTTGAGTAGCTATTGATGAACTTCAGTGTTATCAATAAATAAAAACTAGTAGGCCCGTGCGAAAAATTTGCACAGCATATTGTTATCAAATGCTAAATTAATAAGAAAATGCAACTTATCAAAAGATTAAGACATCAGATGTTACTTTATCGATAAATATAATCCACAAAGGAAACAAAAATTAATTTAAATCTTCATTTTTGTTTGGAACCAACATGTATACAAATTTGAGTAAGCTGTATATTTGCTAAAAATTGTCCGATTGCGATGATTTTTTTTTCCTTTTGTAGGGAATTTAGTAATGTTTTATATAATCATGGGAGTTCCGAAAGAACTATCCGGGTCTTGCTGTACGCATCAAAATCTTTAAGATCCAATTTGTCCCGTATCGATCTACAGACCTACCACCGTTCCAGTATCGAAGCCTAGCAAAATATTTGTATCGACTTTATTTATTTTAGAAAGAAAAACAAAAGTGGAGAATACGATTCGCTAACCCCCAGTGAAATTCTGAATCCAAGGGTACCCCATTCGTGGTATTTGAGCATGACAGGAGCTTATATTTGGTACAAAACCGATTTCGAGCCTTATTATAATAATATATGTACGGATATGAAATAGTGAATATAAATAAGAATATAAATGTTATTTTGTTCAAAGCAGTTAATCTCCAAAAGTTCTTCACCGATTTCTTTGAAATTTTAGTACAACATTGCAATCAAATTCAGGAGTGCTTTTATATACAATTCATTATCATCCAGCCTTTCTTTCCAAAATGACAGCCAATCAATGTGATTTGCATTAGTCTGTAGTGCCAAAATGGCTGCTGATTTTAATGAAACTTGGTTAAAGTCTTCCTCTCAAAGCCTTTATAATTTATGTATATAACATATTTTCCCGCAAACAAGATGCCTAAATTTTTATGATCTATTCAGAATTTTATTTGTGAATAACTTAAAAAGTACACAATTTTTGGCTGATAAGGAGAAACAAAGTTCAGATTTGTATTTTGCATCTTGATAAACCCTCAAATCCCAATTTTCGCTGGAACCAAAAATAAAAATTGTTTGTCTCAAATTTTCATCAAGGCAGGAGCCTTCCATTTTATTTCAAAAATCACAAAAAGTGTGATAACCTAGCCATGGCTAAACCTATACACACAAAATAAGTAGGGGTTTAGGGCCATGTAAACTACACAAAATGCAATAAACTGCACCCCCGTAAGTATATTAGAACTGGAGATACAAAATAAAAATGCATGAGAAGTTTTTGTTTATATATTTCTTATGAAGGCATTAAATCTAAAATTTATTGATATTGACTTGAAGAGCAATAAGTCAGCTTTCCAACGGTCAAAGAAACATTGATTTAGGAGAAAAGCATCAAGAGTTATGCGTTATTTAGTTAATAGCAGGTAAAAAGATTGTAATAGAGAGTGATTTGGTATCTATGATAACTAGAGATCACATGATCTACCAATAACTCAAACAAGTGCACAATTATTATTTGATAATATCCATATCTATTTGAAAGCTTCCTGAATTCCATACAAAAATATCTGGAGTGTCCACTCACACGACTTTCCTACCTATTTCAGAAAAGTTTTTATATCTTTACATATGTTCATGAAGAAACAAAAAAGAATTGAACTAGATACATTTTCCTGAAAATTGATCAAACATAAGATTTGAGTATGATTTATTTGATAAACTAAAGCAATGTAAACCGGCTTAAGGTAGATCAGTGTAAAAATTTCCTATGAATATTAGAAAGATTTCTAAATTTTCTACTAAATGGAAAAAAAAAATGATTGATATTAAAAAGAGTCATGTCCGATAAGATTTTTGTTGCTTTTTTTTTACATTTCCAGTTTAAATTTTTAGGAGAGCTCTATTGTGACTAATTAATGTTTGAAATATAGCTATAATATAAGTGCAATATTGAAATGAAACAAGTTGTACCAACCGAAGGAGTTAAAAGGTTATAAATATTTTTTTAAGGAAAATCAGAATTGAGATTCGTTTTTCAACACTGGAAAACCCACAAGTACAAATTTTCTTATTAATTAAAAAATTTGTCTCAAATTTTGTGATTGAAAGTGGGTTCAAATATTTTTTTGAAAAAAGTTACGATGGATTCACATTTTTATTTGCCTATAACTTAAAAAGTAAACAAATGGTACTGATACTGCACTGTTTTCTTTTGTAGGTGCATATAAAAGTGAATGTAGGAATATATAATATTTTTTAAATCTTGACTTTTATATTTTAATGTCAGAAGTTAATTTTGATTTTTATTATACTGAACTTTTTTTCTTTTTTTTTTTCCTCCCCTTTCTCGCAGTTAAGGCTATACGGGGTTTTCCCGGGCCAGGGGGTGTCGGCGGGGATTTAAAATATGCCTTAGCACCGGGATGTAAACTCGTGACTATTTTTATAACACATTTGTCATATATCAGGTTGCCGGGCAATGGTGGTGCTGTGCACAACGCGTTAGCCCATTCGGGCCACACCACCCACTTATTATACTGAGCAATACATTTAAGTTTGAATAGATAAGAGTTGAATATATAAAAGTTGAAAAAAAATAATACTGGAAACACGCAATTTCAATTATGTTTTCCTCAAATGTTCAATAATGATTGTATTCAAATTTCAACCACTGGATGAACACTAGTATTAATAATACTTTTTTTTCTAGATTATTTTTGGCATTATTATCATTGTTGATTAGGTTGTATATTCTCTCAAAAATATTGTGGCATTTTGAAAATATACTAGGTGGTTTCTTCTTCTAGATTTAAAAAAAAAAATTTATTTACTTATAGTTATAAGTAAACAACTTAAGGAAGAACCTTTTAGCGGACATGTACTTAACAATAACCTTTTGTTACTGGAAATTTATGAATTAATGCATCCAATTGATAGAGCATAAAACAAATCAAAATACTAAAATGATGCTTGAAGATTGAAACAAGGCTAAGGGAGGAGGTTTTCACTTCCTTGAGCATAACTTCCCAGCCAAAGCTCTCTCCTGTTCCTTCTCCCTCCCCCATGTTCCTTAAAGAATTTTACTATAAACTCATTTGTAAAATCAAAGTTGTAGCCTCAAGTAACATAGCATTTAAACATTCCACTAGATAGAGACTGTCATTGGTATACAAATATGCTGATCTACTAAAACATATAAAACAGTCTAAAACTACCTGAAAAACATTCTACTAAGTTTAAATTACATTCCTAGGAGGTGCTCCTTTGATTAATAAAATCAACACAAATATGAAAAAAACATTAGGAGGATAACTCTACTGAAAGTTATAGACTGCTCTACAACAGAATAAATGAACAATATAATCCAGAAAATTCATATGTCAAAGTTTGTTAATACAACAAATTGGTTTGTCCCAACTCTTAGGTAGGAACTGTCCATATGATCTAGCAACTGGTAGAATTATTTCTTAACTAATTAATAATTCAATAGATAAAGATAAAGTGTATTATTATTATTATTATGTGAAGTCCTAACCTACAATAAAAATATATCTTTAATAAAGTATATATTACTCTTGGAGCTTGAAGCAGCTATGGAATGAAAAAAATGTTACATAATCTATTTATAGTTAATAGGGCCTAGCACATTTTCCTGAGATTTCTTGTCTAAAGCTGTGATTAGATTTCTAGTCAAAGATTAACAATAGACAAACAAATGAATGTATATCAGCAACTTTGTATGTTGTTGAATATTCTGCTCTTGGTTCCAATTCCTGAGTAAGGGCGCATTTATGAGGGTGAATTGAAAATAAGAGGTATGATATTTTATAAATTTTAGGTTTGGACTATAAGGAGGATTTACAGCTCGTTTCTTTCACTTTATCTCTAGTTAATATCACATTATGATGAATACTGATGTTATGTTTTTTTTCATTTGGCAGCTTTCGCCACCAGTAACCAACTGGTGGCTATAGTGAGAAAATTGAAAAACGAATAAAACTTCCTTTGATTTAAAAAAATCCGTACAACAACTTTTTGACTGAAAGAACTCATCACAAAGCTGATTTACACCTATCTCAGTCATCATCATCAGACTTGTCATTAGGTGTCGAACATGACTTTTGTTTTTGACTTTTTTCACCCAGCCTTAAATTCTCAGGCCATATGTGTGGGCACCACCATGTATACCCTCCCACATAGAGTGTGGCTTGAAACACACACAAATTTCCCAAACTTTAACTATGATTATGCATTGTGAATCAAATTAATGTACATTCCACTCAATCATGGCACAGAGGACAATCTTGCCTTCACCACCAACCATGAACCTTCATTAGTTGACTCACGACTTGGAGTAGAACTAATAGCTATGATTTTATATATATATTTTTTCTGTAATTGAAGGAATGTTCTAACCTGCTGAAATACACATCCAATGACAGGAGCCTGCATGGACTTGAGGAAAGTGGCACTAACCCACCTTCATGGCTATCCAGAGGTTCCCAGCCTTTTCTTACCTAAATGGAAGTTTCAAGATTCATTTTGTGAGACTCCACAAAATAATTACTTACCAATCTTTGAAAAAAACCTTAATGTTTTTAAATGATCACAATAACATCCTGAACTTACTTGACCATCACAGTCTGAATAAATACACTTCTATCTGTATTCGTATGCTACAACTTTTATGCAAAGTTTGTATAACTCATATTGTTCTACATTGTTTTTCACAATTTAAGATTTTAGTCTCTGTTTTCTAAATTGAAGAAGAAGCATAGTAGTTTGTTCCTACATAAATATTATGTTGCACTAATGTTGGCCATTTTTGTCTGCAATGTGTCATAATATCTATTATGCCATATTGGGAGGAGTGATATGTTCTGATAAGAGGACATTTCAATTAATCAAATGATGGAAATAAGCACATTAGCAGTAGAGTATGTTTCCTCTTTCAAGTAAAGCATTTGTGGTGGGGTGGCCGAGTGGGCTAATGCGTGTTGCCCTACAACCTGATAAGCAAAGTTGGAGTAATAAATAAATAAATTAAAAAATTGCAAGTTCGCATCCCGGTGCCCAGGGAGTCTTTTAAATCCGGCATAAATCCTCCCCCCACCCACTTTCCCGGTAATTTTACAATGTGATATGTAACTATTTCTTTTATGCTCTGTCGTAGAATCATATTATGGACCTATAAATATTATTTTGACAATTTGCAGTTTATAACTATATAGTTAATAATTTAATTTTAATTTATAATTTTTTTGTAGCGAGAAAAGCTCGTATGTTCTACGAACCTCTTAGAACAATGCCTTGTGATATATGTGAAGGAGAGGATTGTAACAACATCTGCAGTGCCAAATTGTCATCGCAAGCTGGTGGTAGCAGTCCTGGTTCAGCCTCTACTTATGCTATGTCAGCATTGGTTTATCTACTGGTCCCTGTCATATATTATGTACAGAGCTAAAATATCATACAATGGTTAAATTTTATTGTAAATAATTTTCCAAAACACATTATCTGTTATATAGTAAATAATTTACTTTATTATTTACATATAATGTTAAATAAACTGAAATTAACAAGTAATATTATTGAATGATTTCAAATCTATATTATGAATAACTATATATTTTTTAATTTATTCATAAAGCAGTTGTCTATAATTATGATAGTGATTATAATTAGTACTAAAGAAAAATCATAGAATACAAATTGATATAGGTATTTATTTTTATGTATATTTGGTCTAAAGTGTAATTTTATTTTATTTATTTTTTAATAGTTATTGGTATATTCTCATTTTACCGTTTTTCATTTCTGTTATTAATGGAGTTGTGGATTTATGAATTGTCTATTCAAGTTTAACGCTAGTGATTTAGTGTACATCATAAGTACGAATAAAATGAATGTATTTATTTTGGCATGCAATAAGTATTGGTTGCAGAAATTTTGATTTTTAACAGTTACATTCTCTTATCATGTTTTACTTCATTTTCGTTTGTTAACAAACTTCTCACTAATGTGGGATACCTTTCTTTATCAATCCATTTCTAATAATGCTAAAAATACACACCTGTACATAAGTTTTAGTTGTTAGAACAAAATTTAGTTAACAGAACAAAATGAAGTGCGAATTCCTATACTCACATTTTATATTGTATAAAAATAATTTTTAATGATTGTTAATTTTAGACCATGTAATTGTTTATTATATTTCACTTGTTTTCTCATATTTTAATTCTTAACTGGACCAAATAAATGTAAAATATTTATAATAATACCAAGATATTTTTGAAATATGTACTTGGATTCAATCTCAGTTTCACAAAACTGACTCTTTAAATAAGTCTGATTTTAATTTCAGTATATTTTTAGCATAAACTTTCACTTTCTGAATTTCACAAGGTATTTTTAAATATTGTATATTATGTGAATAATTTCACTTTTTAAAAATAATTTAGTTATTAATAACATAAATATAAATTTAATTTATTTTCTAAGAAGTATTTTTTGTTTTTTATTACTAAAGGCTGTGATGAATTGGGAAGAAAAGACATAATTACTAATGAAATATTCTTAAAATTAAATATGTTCATGTATATTTATGATATAATTTGTCTATTGTATCTTTCTGATTGTTTTATCACTCAAATGTAGAGATTTTTTCAATAACTGTAGATTGTCTTTTATTTTTTAATGTCTTATTTATGTAAATAGTTAAATTTTAATTTAATGTCTAATTAAAATAAAAGTTTCAATTGAAATTCGTATACTGTTTTGAGACCCATAAAATTTTGAAATAAAACAGTTTAAAATTATTTATGAATAATTATTTTAGTTAATTATATGTTTTCATTATTCTAAACCATCAATTATTCCTAAATATGCAGATATTAAAACATTTAGTATAGTATGGGTACCACAAACTTTCACTCACCACCTAGGTAAATAACTAAATTACTGCTCAAATAGTGCAATACAGTTTGACATTCAGCTGAAAGAAACTAATAAACATTACAAATCTTTTGAATGAACCCAAGTCAAATTTAAGTTAAATATTCTTTAAACTAAATATATTATAATAGTAAGACCAGTGGTTATGTATGGGTGTGAGACTTGGACCTTAACCAAAAACTCAGAGCATGCTCAACTCCTGGGAGAGGAAAGTATTGAGAAGAATCTTTGAGAATGGAATTTGGAGAAGAAGAAAGAATGTGGGTGGAGCTGCGGGAGCACTATGGTGAACCTGATATTGTAGCATTGATAAAAAGTGCCAGAATCAGATGGTTAGGTCTATGGAAAGAGTGACAGACCAAAGAATGGCAAAGATGCTGCATGAGAAGCAGGATGGCCAAAGAAGTCGAGGGCGCCCTCAGATCAGATGGCTGGAAGATGTTGAGGACGATCTGAGGCGGCTGGGCGTTCCAAGATGTAGGGAAGTAGCACAAGACCTTGGATAATGGTTGGCTGTAGTAGAGGAGGCCGGGTTCTTGCAGGACCGTAGCGCCATAATAATAATAATAATAGTTACTATAGTATACGTCCTCAAGTAAGCTAGGAATAACCTGGCGGCCACATGGAAACCTCATGGAACCGCACAACCATTAATTTCTTCTAAACAACAAGTCTATTTTAGTTCAAATTTGCACAGTGTACTTCTCTGACTGATCCTTCACTCTAATCAACGAAGAAACCCTCTCTGTCCATCTGCGGCCACAAAATCTACCAAAAGTAAGCCGATTTGGTGCCATGTTGAGAACCACGCGGTTATCTTTGAATCAGCACTGAATTTTAATTGTAGGTGCGGGAGCACTTAATAACCAATTTCTAATGGTTATATCACCAAAGAAAACACTTTAACGCAACTTAAAATTTGAAAAAGGAACAAACAAACACGGACCGTTATGATCGACTCCGCACGCTCAAAATGAAAATCAAAACCTTTGTTATGGTATTAATAAATCTACATTTAATCCTTCAGAACATTCACATTCGCAGGAAACTGTTGATTTATTTGATGTAGCTCCAGATCTCAGTAAATATTTTGTCACAGTAAAATTAAATGGTATGCCTCAGCGTTTCAAAGTAGATTCAAGCGCTCGTTTATCTTTGATCTCTAAGAAAGATTTTCGAAAATTGAATTTAAATATTCCAGTTCAAGAAACAAATATCATTTTTCGTTTCTACTCCAGCTATATAATAAAACCTTTGGTAAATATTATTATTGTCGTATCTTATAAAGACAAAATTATAAATGAAGAATTGTTTATTATAGCACATGGTCATGATGTTTGATTGTGTAGAATATAGATAAGAAATCTTAATTTAGAGTTAAATGCATTAATGAAGAAATGCATACTTTGACCCAGTCAAACTTAGTTTACTCAATAAATTCCGTTGAAGATATTATCAAAGAATACGCCCCAGTATTTTCACAAAAATTAGGATGTGTACCAAACGACGAACTTAAATTACAACTCCGACATAATGTAAAACCAAATTTAACTCGGTAACAGGACATTTAAAATGCATTGCGTGAGAAAGTCGAAAAAGTTGCGTGAGAAATCTTTGAAAGAGCTCGAATCATTAGAAGTAACAAGAATTATTACACCAGTAGCACCTGTGATTGAGGATCTCCTTTAGTAATCATTCCAAAACCAGATGGTGGAGTTCATATATGTTTAGATTATAAATGTGGAGTGAATGAACGATTGGTTTCCTCAAACCACCCTATACAAAGAATAGACAATGTATTAAACAGTCTTCGCCGTTCAAAATACTTCTGTAAGCTAGATATTTTTAAAGCTGACCTTCACTTAAAAGTAGATGAAAAAAAAAAACAGCGAAATTTAGACAATGGTTACTCACAGAGGAACTTACAAGATGAATAGATTTAGCTTTGATATTAAAACTGCTCCCTCTGAATTTAATCGAGTGTTATGTAATATTTTACAAGAACTTCCAAATAATGAAGCCTACTTCGATGACATCATAGTACACGGATTGACAGAAGAAGAATGTTCAAAAAACTTGAATGCTTGTTTAAAAAGACTTTCCGAAAATGGTTTAATTTGAACAAAAATAAGTGCTTGTTTTTAAAACTAAAAACTGATTATCTCGGATATGCGGTTGAATATAATAAAATAAGTGAATCTCCAGAAATGGTTCGAGCCACGATGGAAATGCCGCGTCCCTCCAACATCGATGAATTGAGGCGTTTTGTTGGACTTGTCACTTATTATTCCCATTTTATTCCACATTTTTCTACACTCACATATCCTTTTTATGTTGCCTATTAAGGAACAATCAACTTTTTTTATTTGTCTGCTTTGTGTCAATCGACTTTTATTAAATTGAAAACCGAACTTTGCTGTGATCGTGTACTCACACCTTTTGATCCTTCTTTACCCCTGTCCCTAACGACCGATGCCAGTCCTACTGGGATCGCAGCAGTTCTCAGCCATGAAGTTGATGACTTGATCATATACATCTTCACTTTTTTTTTATTGTTCTTCCCTTTTAGGCTATACGGGGTTTTTCCGGGCGTAGAATTTAAAATATTCCCCGGCACTGGGGCGCAAACTCATACTTCTTTTAATCTCATAACTTCGGTTATCTGGTTGCCGGGCAACACGCGGTGCTGTGCACACGCGTTAGCCTATTCGGCCACCCCGTAGTAGTCCAACGAAAGATTTAAATTCTTGGTTGAGAAATTTTCCCTTGTCTTCCTTATTCAAGATTTCCTTATTCCGGATAGAGCAAATGCCGAACATTGGTCAAAGTTAGCAGAACACTATTAAGGGTACTTTGTGTAATAAATGTGTTGTTGAATGTAAATAAATATTTTATATAATTTAACTAAAACTTTTTTTTTACAACCCAATACATCTTGAGTTTCACAGCTTGTTATTTCTTCAATTTGGAAATCTAGTATATCCTAATGTTTCAAATCTGTTTCGCGTGTTCCACCAGTGGTTCTATTCTCTTATACATATGAATAATTTCTCAATCTGTCAATATTTGGTCCCATGTATACATAATAATTTAGGACCAATAGCTGGGCAATTCACAGTTTTTAATTATCAGTACAAGTAAAGTTCCATCCAAAGGTCCTTTACTGACGAAAGTCTTGGAATAGTTTAGAAAATAACAGACACCTATAAGGTTCCAAACTTTAGATAACGAAATGTTATGACCAAGAGTTGCCAATCCCACAATTTTTCAGACTCACCTATTTTTGTGAAAGCTACTTTATTTCTGTTACAGACGTTTCAGATACTTCAAGAGCCCCTGGAAAAGTTTAGCTTTGTTTTACAATTATTTTTATTATGATATTATTTATATTAACATGTAGTACTTACCTTTTTTTGTTTTATACACAAATAGATTGCAATCATATCGACAGCCATACTGCAAAAGCCAGTAAGGACAATTTCTATGGAAAATGAGATTTTGAGCTTACTGGTCAATCTTGTCCTGGCGCATATTCTAATCCCACAAAATGAAATCTACGATGCTTCATTTCATTCTCTATGGCCTTTTGTAAAAACTTGTAATTTAAAAACAGTGATGAAAAAATCTGTAAGTTAATAAGTGAAGATTATTGGGACTGAGCCGTTACCAAAAAACCGTGATAAAATGCTCAATGATAGGTGGCAATGTAAATACAAACTGTGTAAAGCATTTTGTTCATAGACTACAGTATCAATTAGCTTTATTCATAAACTAAAATTAATTTTCATCATGCGCTTTTTATTCTTTTTTTTCTAATTTCTAATAAGTGGTGGGTACTTCCAGCCTGGCACCTGTGAGCAAATGCCCGGGTTCCTCTGCTCTGAGGCATGGAACCAGACAAAGCAAAGTGGTAAGTGCGAAGATAATATCGAACGGTCTTCAAAACAATCGAAACCTCCTGTTCACTGAAAAATGAGCTTGATTAAAAAAAAGCTATAATACCGCCGAATCCCAGCTAGAGAGAGACAGAGAATTGATTGGAAAATTTTACACGAGACTATAAATTAGCTCTAGTTTCATCTTTTCAAACCAATGAATCTTTGAAATCACAAGAAGAGAAACGAAGTGATCTGTAGATGATGTACATCAGCAGGTCACTTAGACCTTACCTGGCATTCGTGAATCAAACCATATGAAGTTGAATGCATTAAAAACGAACCGTTCCTTGACTACTCCAAAATGGGGCTCATACACTGCATTCGAGCCGCCCCTACAGTGGGAGACAAAAACGTGAATAATCTGTGTGATCGAATACTCGTATTCCGGTCAATTTTTTACAAATTTTCATTTCATGTTCCTTTACATTTTGGAAACTAATTTTGTTCCTGTCACGCATTAATCATTATTAACAAATTTATGGGTGTTACTACAAAAATTTGATTGTTTTTACCAAACTAATACCTGTTTTTCAAAATAAGCAAAAAGCTATAAGTTATAAGTAAAGGCTCTTAAAGTTTATTTGGCAAAAATACGACAAAAAAGTTACATAGAGCATTATTTCTTTGTCCTGGCCTGCAAAAAAATTGGACGGACAATATAATACTCATAGAACAAAAGTTACCCAGTTTTTTTTTTGTCTTCTGAAAATTTTAGTTTTTGTTCTATAGGCTTTTGTAGTGTGACTGTGGACATCTACTTTCATTGGCGTATGACTGTGATTTTCGTCATAAAACTGTGATTGTATATACATACATATCTTTTTTAGTTTTTAAATTTCCTTGATAAATAAAAGTATTTTAAAAAATCGTTACTGTCTTTCTAAATTGATTTTAATATTTGTTAATTATTATTAATTTCAAAAATATTTTACCTAATTTCAAAAACCCATTTTAATAATGATACGAATATTGAACACTTTAAACATTTTAATTATAATAGAAAGTTTTCAAATAGTTTCTAACAATATATGCACTTTTATACATGTTTTATTGAACTTATTCTGTACCTTAAATTAAACTCATTTTACTCTTGAGCCTTTAACTAAAAAAAAAAATTTAAAAAGGTTTAAAAATATATGAATTGAACAAATAAGCATGGGTCTAACCTAATTTGTCAAAATTACAAGAAAAAACAACGTTGATGCTACAATTATACGAATTTCCAAAGAGCAAGCGTACGAGGTTTGAGGTTGGTGAGATTGGTCACAGAGCGCGCCGCAACCAGATTACATAGTTGAAATTGAACGAGCTTCAGATGTACCTCCTTGTAATGTTGGAGTAGGACGCTGTGCAGGTTTTGTTGTCTTGTTTGTCACGTGTGTGTGTTGTGCTATAATGGTGAGAACGAAGATTGATTCCCGAATTAAAACATTCATCGAAGATGGTGTTAAATTACAACACCGTACGATGTTCGTTATTGTTGGCGACAAAGGAAGAGACCAAGTTGTTGTTTTGCATCATATATTGACAAAGAGTGTTGTCAAAGCTCGCCCTTCTGTGCTTTGGTGCTATAAAAATGATCTAGGCTTTAGCATTAATACAAAGAAGAAAATGAAACTAGTTAAAAAGAAAACAAAAGCAGGAAGAGTTAATATTAACGAGGAAGATCCTTTTGAACTATTTATTGCTTCAACAGATATAAAGTTTCGTTATTATAAACAAACTCAAGAAATTCTTGGACGAACATTTGGAGTTTGTGTTCTACAAGATTTTGAAGCTTTAGAACCTAATATATTAGCTCGTACTATAGAGACAGTTGAAGGAGGTGGTCTTGTTATTTTACTTCTACGTTCGATGACATCTCTTAGACAACTTTATAATATGACAATGGATGTTCATGAAAGGTATAGAACAGAAGCCCATAAAGATATTGTTGGAAGGTTTAATGAAAGATTTATTTTATCATTATCTTCATGTGAGCGTTGCCTTGTTGTAGATAGTAGTTTGAATGTACTTCCTTTGTCATCTCACATTTTTAATGTCAATCCTGTATGTGTTGAAAATAAGTCTGAAACTAATTCTGAATTAAAAAATCTTGTAGATAATCTCAGAGATACGCAACCTATAGGATCGATAGTATCATGCTGTAAAACATTGGACCAGGCTAAGGCTGTTTTGAAATTTATTGATGCGATTTCTGAAAAGACTCTTAGATATACTGTCTCATTGACAGCATCCAGAGGAAGAGGAAAATCTGCTGCCTTGGGTTTAGCTGTTTCGGCAGCTGTTGCATTTGGTTACACCAATATATTTGTTACATCACCTTCACCAGATAATTTAAAGACTTTTTTCGAGTTTGTTTGCAAAGGTTTTGATGCATTGGGATATCAAGAGCATTTAGATTATGGTTTAGTTAAATCTACAAATGATAAAAGTGATGAAGCCTTAATCAGAGTAAATATTTTTAAGACAAACAGACAAACCATACAATATATTCATCCAACAGATGCTAACAAATTGAGTCATGCAGAATTGCTTGTAATTGATGAAGCTGCTGCGATTCCATTACCTTTGGTCAAAAAAATGCTTGGACCATATTTAGTTTTTCTTTCATCTACCATCAATGGTTATGAAGGTACCGGAAGATCACTTTCCCTGAAACTTCTTCAGGAACTTAGAACACAATCTAATAGTAATAGTAATTCGGATTTAACTAAATCTTCAAACAGAACTCTTTATGAAATAACTCTAGAAGAATCTATTAGGTACAAAACTGGGGATCCAGTTGAAGAATGGTTGACAAATCTTCTTTGTTTGAATGCGTGTAATATTCAATCATCAGTTGGAGGTATTCCATCACCTAGCGAGTGTGATCTTTATTATATCAACAGAGATACTTTATTTTCTTACCATAAAGCTTCTGAAATGTTTCTTCAAAAACTGGTTGCTTTATATGTTTCCTCTCACTACAAAAATAGTCCTAATGATCTTCAACTGCTTTCTGATGCACCAGCGCACCACATTTTTTGCCTTTTAGGTCCTGTTGATAAAAATATGAAAATTCTTCCCGACATTTTATGTGTTCTTCAAGTTTGTTTCGAAGGAAGACTCACTTCTTCATTTGTTAATGAAACATTCAGTGCTGGAAGGAAACCTACTGGTGATTTAATACCTTGGACTATTGGCCAGCAATTTCTGGATAGAAATTTTCCATCATTGCCTGGTTTGAGAGTAGTTCGTATTGCTACTCATCCTGATTATCAGTCAATGGGCTATGGCTCCAGAGCTCTCTCTTTACTCTTAGATTATTATAATTTAGAATTATATTCATTAAGTGAAAATACAGAATCAGGTTTGGATCAAAACACTTTATCTGGTGATTCAGGTGAAGGTTTGATACATGAATCAATTGAACCAAGATCAAATTTACCTCCACTTTTAATGAAATTAAATGAACGACCTCCAGAAAGAATTCAGTATATTGGAGTTTCTTATGGCCTGACATCAGATCTTTTGAGGTTTTGGAAGAAATCTGGTTTTGTACCACTGTATGTGAGGCAGACACCAAATAAATTGACTGGTGAACATTCTTGTGTGATGATTAGAGTACTGAATAAGGAAGATTGTTCATGGCTATTAGAGTATTGGACTGATTTCCGAAGAAGATTTTCTTCTCTCTTGTCTTTTCAGTTTCGTGAAATGCAGACTTCTCTTGGTCTTTCAGTTTTAAATAACAAGAATATTAAAGGAACTACAGAACCCCTAACAAAACAGTTTTTAGATTGTCATTTAACAAATTATGATCTAAAGCGACTGGAAATGTATTGTAATAATCTTGTTGATTATCATTCAATTATGGATTTGTTACCTACATTATCTAAATTATATTTTTTTGGCATGTTTAGTGATCTGAAATGTTCAGCTATTCAATCAGCAATTTTGTTAGGCATTGGTTTGCAACATAAAACAATTGATGAGCTATCCAAAGACTTAGAATTGCCAACTTCTCAGTTATTTGGTATTTTTAATCGCTCAATGAGAAAGATTCAGCAATTTTTAGCAAACTTAACTGAGGAAGCAGTTGAAGAAACGTTAGGATTAAAAAATCTTACATCTGTAGATCATGAAAATGGTGTTGAGAATCGTATTGGTGGGCTGAAAGCGGAAATGGATGCTGACGACAAAAGTTTAAGGAAGAAGCAACGGAAAGAACTTGACAGTTTAAAGAGAGAGTTTCTTCAAGAATATGCCATTCAGGGAACTGATGAAGAATGGAATAAAGCTTTATCTGAAGGTCCAGGCAAAACCCTCTCAATAAAAAAGAGTGCACAGGTCATGTCTGCAAACAATAAAGTTTGGGATGAACCAAAGAAATTGATTCCTTTTAAAAAAAGAAAAACTCACAAAAAATAGTTGTGTTTATTATTAGATATTTAACTGTAAAAAAAAATTTAACTTTATCAATTTTAAATTATGACTATAATTGTTTCCAGACTGTTCATTGTAATTTTCTTTGTAAGATAATGGTTTAATTTACTGTTTAATAACATTTTATTTTATTTCTATAAATTTTTTATGAAACAATTTTAGAAGAAATTTATATTTTCTATCTTGTTATTGTATATATGTAGTTATAAATGATGTACTACTTGAAAGTATTTAGTACATTTCCATGTATGTATGTTAAATAAATCAGAATTTTTACTATTATGTTTGTCTAAAGAATATTTCCTATCATTAAAGAAAAAATTAAATGTTTATAGATATAGTGTGTTTCCGTGACTTGGGATATCTTGAAAAGTAAAAGAATTTTTTGTAAATGAAGAGTTTTATCCATTGTTTTTTTTAATTTGCATATTGAATCGTTCGATCAGTGATTTATTAAGATCATTAAAACTTATAACATTTATGATTTAAAAAAAAATTTTGATTATATCATCTTCAAATTTGAAGACTGGTTTTCCAAATTATTAGATTTTAACTACAGCATTTATCATTAAAAATTAACTGAGTAATTATCTCTTTGATCATTCCTCTATTGATTTTTTCTTTGACTTTAATAAAAAAAAAAAAATTGTTTAGTTTAATTTTTAAAACTGAATTATTAATTATTTTTTATTGATGTTATCTATTTTGATAGTCAAAGAAATATAATTTGATTGGTGTTGATAATAACATTGATAAGAAGTAGTTTTATTGCTTACGGGCAAATGTTTACACAAATTAAAGTTAAATACTGATTTTAATAAAATTTGTGACATTAAGGATTCTTTTTTTATATAAAGATGTGTTATAGACTTTTTCTATAAGCAATGAGCGAATTCTAATCCTTAAAGGTAAATGGCAAATTAAATATTTCTGTTGAAGAAGTTTGAACATTTTAAAAAGCAAAATTGAATAACAGATTTTTTTGTCTGTCTAAAGCTAATCTTAATTAAAAATAATAAGTTCAAGATGATCAACTTAATGCATCAACCAAATTTATGGTAATTTTATAATTATTCATCAAAATGAGTAGATTTTCTTAGATCATTGCTTTCTAAAATGGAGTGGATTTTAAATTTTCTTCACCAAATTCCCAAAATGTTTTTTATTTGTATAAAAAATAATTAACGTGTTGATTTATTTCAAAAAGATTGGTTCAAACATGGTTTTTGACATAAATTTCAATTAGTAACCACAAAAAATTTCTCATCCAACTTTTTTAAACTGTCACATAATAGAATAAAATCACATTATAATTGTTAGAATTCTACATGGATATTGATTTTGATTACACAAGTATATCAAAGTCAATCTTTTTTATTTTTGAAAGGGTATAAGAAAATACTGAATTAAATTCCATAAGAGAACGACATTCTTACTCACTATGCCATCACCTATCTATTCATTGTTTAACACTAAGGAGGCGCTATCAGACAATTTTACAAGGAGCAGCAATATAACTACATATCTGAACTTATTAAGTCGCTACCTAGCCTCCCCTCTTATTGTTCAGTGTAACGGCACTCAAGCTTCACACCCTATTCAGCATCAAATCCAATGTTTTTTCCAGGACTGACTTTTGCCCAAAAGTCCCAGTATAATCATTCTTTCTCTTTTACAAATCTCATGCAATAAAAGAACAGATGTTTCACTGTTTCTTCTAAAGATGCATGAGTTCAACATGATGATTCATAATCAACATACATAATCTACTTTTTCTATTTACGGTACCGAGGGAGGAATGGTTCTCTGTCATGACTTACGTGGATCTGGCTGTTGCAATGACTTCAAACAGCAGAGTCAGGTTGAAAGATAAAACTGTAAGGTGCACCAACCTCTTGTAGGAGGTTGGTGCAAGAGTAAGAAGTTGAGAATGACAGTCAGTAAGATTCAATCTATTCTTTTAAGGAGTAAGATTGTCAAAGTCCACTATATTACTTTTATTACACATGGAGAAAGGCTACATCAAAGTGAGTGTATCACTTACTTTGACAAAAGCATAGGAAAATTTTGTAATGTTATGCCTCACTTGAACTACTTGAGATGTATGGTGGCCCAACTCCTCAATAGTAGCTTATTAAGCATATTAGCTTGAGACAGTCCAAAAAATCTCATCCAATTTTACTTTTTAAAATATTTAAACTTCTTCAACAGAAATATTTAATTTGCTATTTAACTTTAAGGATTAGAGTTCACTCATTTCTTATAGAAAAAAAAAAAATAAAACATCGTTATATAAAAAACGAATCCTTAATGTTACAAATAAGCAAAACTTTATTAAAATCAGTATTTAACTTTAATTTGTGTAAACATATACCCATAAGCAATAAAACTACTTTTTATTAATGTTAATTTGAAATATCATTATCAACGCCAATCATATTATATATCTTTAACTATCAAAATAGATAAAATCAATAAAAATTAATTAATAATTCAATTTTAAAAATTAAACTAAACATTTCTGCTTCTTCTTTTTTTTTTTTTATAAAGTCAAAGAAAAAATCCATAGAGGAATGATCAAAGAGATAATTACTCACTTAACTTTTAATGATAAATGCTGTAGTTAAAATCTAATAATTTGGAAATCCAGTCTTTTCAAATTTGAAGATGATATAATCAATCATTTTATAAAAAAAATCATAAAATGTTATAAGTTTTAATGATCTTAATAAATCACTCATCCAACGATTCAATATGCAAATTACTAAAAAAATGGATAAAAATGTGAGTTGAGAATAACAGTGTAAGATAAAAAAAAATTGATTACTTGTTTTCTAATTAAATAATATTCAAAGTCGGCACTATGCCACCCATCCCCCCCCCCATCTACCACCCATTACACAAAAAATTTCCCCCCACAACCAATAAACCCCTCAAACCGAACATGCCCCATAAATTCCCCGAATACCCCACTCAAACACAAAAAATATCCCTCCGTGTCCCACAATTATACCACAACCAAACCAACATTCCCATACACTCACCCAGCATTCCCTAATGCTCAACCAATCACCTAGCGTGCACCTCAGAACACCTCACGCAAGCTCGTGATCAAGTTATTCAGAGTAGACAATATGAGCGTCTATACCGATGGCTAGCAACGATGAGCAGCTTTATCACATCCTTCAGATCATGACCGATTACGTCAAATCAAACACTTAAAGTAGAAATTTTTAAATCCCATTTCTCTACATATACACGTACAGGTACACATTTATTTCTTATGTTTTTATAACGCTAAACAATATTTTTTAAATGCTGCAAGTGGATGCTTCTGACTTGGGCTTGGTTTTCAAGTATTGTAATCATATTATCAGTTTTCTGATATTTTATTCATAGTTATTGCCATTCCAGCGTTAAATTTTAAAATTAAAACCAAGTTTATAGTTTTTTAAGTATTTTATAATTGAATATTTACTGACAGCTATAATATGATTTACTATAGATTCATCTGTTTGTCAGTAATTTTACTTGACTAATTTTAAATAAAATAATGTAATGTTAGAGTTTATTATGTTCTTCATATCTTACTGATTGTTGACATTTTTTAGGCGCATTGTAATATGAGCTGGAATCAGGTTGGAGAAATGAATGGTATGAAAGATGATCTTCCTTCCACTTCATGGGATATTCGTCAAAATCACATAACCCATGAGACGATACCACAAATTCTGGTACCAACCCCAATAAAAATACCTGCAGTTGCATTAGATGCTGGTGCAATGGTGCATCCTCACATCCAGGCACCTCATGTAATTTATTATAATACCTTTAAATGAATAAATATTTTTTTCTATATACTATTCTGAATATTTATTAGAATAAACTGATTTATACGACTGATTTTATGATAAAACAAATTTATTTATTTCTATTATCTCAAAATATGTGAATCTTTAATTATTTGTATGATGATTATTAGTTTACATGTCTATGATGGATATTGGATAAAATCCCATCATTTAGCTTGAAGAAAAATTTGTCTGGCGGTTTCTCAGGGTGGCTTCTGGATGTGCAATTTTTCAAAAATAAAAAAATTTGCTAAAATTACCTACAAGCAGCACACTTGGGTTTATATCAATTTTAAGACTTCCAAAAAGAGTTTTGAATACAATCTTACAATATATCTCAGTGGCTTCTTCCAACCAGATTCCAAAATTATAGTACACAATTTTTTTTTAAAATTACCTCAAGCAGAAACAAGTGTCTTGCCCAGAAGTTTGGTCATTTACAAATAGAAAAAATATATTTCTATGAAATGGGCACAATAACTTTGTGGGTTTGAAAACCAAGCAGATTTTAATGTTTACTTTATTAAAAAAAATTTCACATTTTGAGCAGCACAAGCAAGTGACATCCACATCATAATGTAGTTCTGAGTATCTTTCTGACAAATGTTTCTGTTTACTTACCTACCCATCCTAGATTTAAATAAATATTTAAACAAGTTACCAAAAGTGAAGTCATAATCGTTTGGCTTTTAAATTATTTGTATATTTATTACGACTTTTTGAAAATTCATTTTTGAATTTGAACTCAGCCGTTTCCAGAGACATTGTATTAATATTTATATACCAGGAGAAAGAGTATGACAGTGTCCCTCGAAGACTATTATGGCAATCCCTCTAAAATGCAAACATTAATATAGGTCTGATAAATATAATAACGGAAACACCTGCCAGGTCAAAATTGGACCATGCCTTTCTCAGCCTTTCCCAACAAGCAAAGGATTGCTCCAGGGGTGTTGTGTTTCTCCTTATCTGTTCAAGATTTATCTTGACATTTGTTTGAATTATTTGAAAGCATGGAGAATAAAATGTGAACTCATGGGAATTTTTTTTTTTTCCTGTTCTTCCCTACCTCGCCGTTTAGGCTATACTGGATTTTTCCGGGCCAGGGGATGAGGGCGGGGAATTTAAAATCCCCTCCACACCAGGACGCGAACTCGTACCTTTTCAATCTCTCAAATTTGTTATCCGGTTGCCAGGCAACTCGCGGTGCTGTGCACACTCTTTAGCCACCCCGCCCCAGATGTTGCATGTGATGTGGAAGTAAAAAGAAAAATTTCAGATGGCAAAAAGACCATATCAAAGCTCAATTCGGTATTATGGAACATTATCCCCAAAACAAAAAAAACCATTACAATAGTATAGTACTGAGCATTATGACTTATGGGTCAGAAACTTGAATCATAAAAAGCAACCTCAGGATGAAACTTCTAACCACCGAAATGGACTACTGGAGAAGAGTGACGGGAATATCCAGAATGGATAAAGTGAGAAGCCCGACCATCAGAGAAAAGATGGAGACTAAAAGAATCATTCTGGAAAAGATTGAGAAAAAATGTATGAAGTGGTATAGGCATTTGAAAAGAAAAACTACCCAAAGTAGTCCACTTATGGAAAACTAGGGAAAGAAGAAGACAAGGAAGACCTGAGATATCGAAGTGGAGGAATCCATGATGGGTCATGTTCTACGGGAAGAATGGACCTTAGATAGGAAATTATGGAAAGAAGCCATCCAAGCACTTTAAGTTGAGGAAACCCACTATTAGTGGAAACTCCTAATAAAAAAAAAAAAAAAAAGAAATTTGAATTTAAGTGAATAAAATCAAAGAAAGTTTTTGTGTTTGATACCAGTCATAAGGATTTCACACACATTACTTTCATAAAATTTTCTGAAAATCTTTCTTTAGTTTAAAAATTATTTCATACTTAATGATTAGAATTAATAAGTTTTTTATTAACATGTTTGCAAAAAATATTTAAAACAGATGAAGGATTTAGCATTATTATTTTGTTCAATTATTTTCTTCTTTACTGGTCAAGAACAATTCATCTGTACTGTCACCATTTGCTTCTTCATGGTATATGTTATCTCCATAGTCATGTCTGGTCTGCGAATAAATGAAAGGACAGCTATAAAAGACCAATGCTCCTTATTTCTTGGAAAATGGCTTTGATGCTTATGAATCATCTATTCTTGGTTACTCTGAAATACAGCCAAACTTGATAGTGTTCAGCAAGGGAAACAATTCTGGAAATATTTTATAAAAATATTAGTAATATGTCTATGTATTATGATCAAATAGCTACATTCCTTTCGGTGACATCACTGGAGACCTAGAAGAGTGGGGGCTGGCTGGCAGTGATGAAAATACAGAAATTCCTGATCCACCTACTATTGATGATGTGGGGTATGCTTTGAATAAACTTAACTACAACATGGCTCCAGGTGAAGATGGGATTCCAGCTCAGCTCCTGAAGCATGGCTGCGAGGAGTTCTTGAGAATCCTCTACGATGTCATCGTCGTCTGGATTGAAGAGCATATACCAGAACAGTGGAACAAAGGCAAAATCTATCCACTTCACAAGAAAGGCAACATCCTGGAATGCTCCAACAACTGGATTATTTCGCGTCTACAGTGCGCCTATACAAAGTTCTATCTAATATCATTTATAAGAAATAGAGAGTTGATGATTGACTGTAGTGAATTATTGAAGAGTCTGTCCACGCTTTTAAGATTGAACAGCCCTTATGAAGGCCTGAACTTCGGGCCGAAACGTCGGAAAATATAAAAATAAATATATTTAATTATTTTTACCATTTTTATTTTCACTGATCACCCCAACCATCCTTCTCTTCATTTATAAGAAACTTCTTCAGTTTGAAGAGACAGAAATTGGAAAATATCAGGTGGGTTTTAAAAGTGAGAGATCTACAGTTGATCAAATGTTTAGTCTCCGGATGATACTCGATAAGTCCCTGGAATATCCGATTATTACTCACAACCTCGTTGTTGACTTATGGTCAATGATAGCATTAAAAGACAGAGAAGTCCGATTAGAGTACTTTATTTTCATAGATTATTCGCATTGGTACAGAATTATGTAGGATCAGTTTTGTTGAATTCTGTTAACTCAAAAAGTAAATAAACTCAACCTTAAAACCTGTATGGTGGCAATATTTAAGCTTGATCGGTAGAGGTTGTTATAGTCCGGGAGCTAGATATATTTTTTTATTACCTCATAAGCAGCAGAAGGTTTGACAAGCGGATATGGAAGATTTTCATCAGTTACTTTGAAGAAAAATTGTTCTGGAAATTTCTCATGATGGCTTTGGTATGTACAATTAAAAAAAAAATGACTAAAATTAGCTCACAAGCGGAAATTGTTTATATTAATTTTAGGACTTCCCAAAAGAATCTTGCATAAAATTTGTTAATTTTTATTTCTCAGTGGCTCCGTTATATGAATTTTGACATTCCCAATCTGGTAAATATGTGGCTGCAACTTCAAAGTAGCTTTCATGGGTTGAAAAAAAGGACCACAGTCCCACTTGCTAAACTAGTTTCCCCAACCATTAGCAGTACCAGTACCAGTATGTGCCTATTTCTGTTGGAAAAACCTAAAAAATGATAACTAACATTCCGGCAAAAGCAATTGGTTCAGGAATGGCTTACCTATATCAGTCTTAAAATAAAAATCTATACAAATATCTTGGTAGGTTATCTGATTAGGACACTCTTGTGGAACTGTTTATCTGATAAGATTGTATATTTCTTAAGACTTTTCTGAATATACTTCTCTGAAAATGGGCGAAATATGTTATTGGAATTGACCAACCAAACAAATTTAAATGTTTAATATATTTACAGGATGTGTTATGAATATTCACTTAAACTCTTATATTATAGCTAATATATTAAATTGCTAATATTATAGCAGAAAGAGTGAAGTTAGAAATTGATGCAACTCTTAAGATTAAGAAAATTTGCCTATCTGGCACCAATTTTGCCAAATTGTACTGTATTAACATGTATCTTTCCAAAATGCTCTGATTCTCTTTTCAGTGACATTCGCTCACTGCGACAGTTAACAACAACACACGTGAAACAAAAACCGTACATACATGTATGATGCAAAAATCCATTACTGAATCAGGGCCTTCTCCAAAAGTTTTCACCATTCATCCTTTTTGTGCGCAGCAGCCATCCAATCTGGTTATTCCAAGAATATTCCTGGCATTTGCGGGGTAGCTATCCATACATCTCGTTTGGGTTATCCCACTCTTCTACCTTGATACAGGGTTTTAGGAGCCAATTTTTTTAGGATTTCATTCTCCTACATCCTGGCCAGGTGTGCCACCCATACGAGCCTCCTCACCCTGATCCATCTAGCAACATCTGCATTCTTGAAGAAAGCGCATAGATCTCCCGCTTATTTCTTCTTCTCCAGGCATTATCTTTCCATATCGAACCAACAATTCTTCTCAATAACGTTCTTTCAAATATCAGCAGCCTATCTTCATCAGCCTTATTCCACGCCCAAGCTTCAGATCCATATAAACCGTCCAAACAATGACTTTGTAAAGTCTTACTTTGGTCTCGTTGGTAATAAATCTACTTTTAAATTGCTTGGTAAGGCTAAAATAGCACATGTGTGCTGCTGTGATCCGACAATTAATATCTTGGGATACATCACCATCCGAATTCATCTCCGATCCCAAATATATACAGTGCTGCACCCTCTCTAACTTGTATTTCCCAATCTCAATATTCTCTTCTTAGAAATGCCCTGATTCGGCTTGCATATACTTAGTTTTTGATTCATTGACAACAAGCTCAAACCTTTTAGCTGCCTTTTCTAATTGAAGAAATGCTTCCTTCAGTGCACCTTAAGACCTGGCAACAATATCAAAATCATCTGCATATTCAAATATCTCAACGGTTTTGTTGAAAATCGTGCCCATA